GAAATCTTTTATAATTTATATATGACCTTTAAAACGTTCAATTATTATGCACATTTTCTAGAGGGGTAAAAGATACTTTTGGTAATGCCTTAGTGAATTTAGTTTTGCTAGTTTTTTTTTCTCTTTTTTTTTTTAACATATAGGCCTAAAAACAGCAAAAACTTTGTTAGAAAAAAAAAACTAGCATTTTTCTTGTTTTAAAAATCAAAATGATTTTTTTTAACATTTGATACGGTTTGGGTGTTATAAGTTTGCTAATCCTAGGTACAAATTATTACATTCATTGTAATTATGATCCAAATGAAAAGGTGCTATCACCAGAAATGTAAAATGTACAATTACATAGTACACAGAGGAGGTTTTGTAAAGTGATGTAATTTTCAAGACTTTTAATTGACAGTTTATTCCTTAAAAAGTCAGCATTGCATACATTTGAAAAAGAGAGAGAGAGAGAGAGAGAGAGAGAGAGAGAGAGAGAGAGAGAGAGAGAGAGAGAGACAGAGAGAGAGAGAGAGACAGAGAGAGACAGAGGGATTTTCAAGTATTGTAAAATATTCCATTCCGACCACAAAAATTCCTTGACCCTTTTCCGGAGGAGACCTGTCCCTGCATTTTACAAGAAAATAGATTTTGGCACTCCTCTAAAATTATAATTTAATCTTTTGAGATTAATTTATTAAAGTCATATCATTTTTAAGAATTAATGATGATTTTGATACGAAAATCTATCATCAATATTCTGCAGTGAATAATTTTATCCGAGACTATGATAAAATCTTAAATAGTGAATACATTTTATAAATTTACGCATATTACACACGAGTGTGCTGACTAAAATACTAATATACTTTTACACTAAAACATATCAATCTTATGCTATCAATGTCAAGACCAAATTTGTTTTCAGAAATCGGTTGCAAGGAGGACTTAATTGAGGTAGCGTTTGGTGAACGCTGTAAGGACAGAATGAGGATTCACTGGGAGGACGATAAAAAATGGATGTGCTCCGACAAATTTCAAAGAAGATTCTGCTGTAAATTCTGTACAGAGACCGAGGAATCACAAGGTAAACAAGTCATTGTCGAATATTTGTACCGAGACCCAGGAATCACAAGGTAAACAAGTCATTGTCGAATATTTGTACCGAGACCCAGGAATCACAAGGTAAACAAGTCATTGTCGAATATTTGTACCGAGACCCAGGAATCACAAGGTAAACAAGTCATTGTCGAATATTTGTACCGAGACCCAGGAATCACAAGGTAAACAAGTCATTGTCGAATATTTGTACCGAGACCGAGGAATCACAAGGTAAACAAGTCATTGTCGAATATTTGTACCGAGACCGAGGAATCACAAGGTAAACACGTCACTGTCGAATATTCGTACCGAGACCCAGGAATCACAAGGTAAACACGTCACTGTCGAATATTCGTACCGAGACCCAGGAATCACAAGGTAAACAAGTCACTGTCGAATATTTATTTTTAATCTGAAGTTGAAAATGATATCATGAAAAAAAAAATTGGTGAAAATTATTGTTAGTAACCGACAAACCGGTAATTAACAAAGGATAAATTAAATTAATGTCAGATTAAGTACTAGGAATCGTACGATCAATATAAAACTTTTCTCTCAATGATCTCTTATTTTCAATTTGTGTTAAATATTTGATAATTTTCTACATATGAAGGAAAGGGATGTTTGTATATAGATATATATTGAATCAATATACTTGCAAAAAGCTTATGAAAGTGTTGTTATTCACGTATGAAATTGTGAGAAATATTTGTCAGATCACTGATAAAGACAGTGGATAACATCTGTATATTTCATTTCGATATTAATTTTCAGATACGAATAAGTCTAAAGATCTTCTGATGAAAAGAATACTGGACATTTTGGAATCTTCTGAAAGACGATAAAAAGATGTAGATGCATTATTAAAGTAGAAAAAACGACACATGTTCAGTAAATGACTGCCAGAGTAGAAGTCTACGCTAAAACTTTTCATTATTACTGATATCGATTTTACCTTTAATACTTACATTAAGAGGTTCTCAAGACAGTAAATCAAATAATATTGGATTTTCTTTTTATTATGCTTTTCTTTAGAACAATCAGTGATCATACGTAATGAATATATAAAGTACCTTTCATCTATGACTCCGAAATATATTCCGTTTACCTATTGTTAATAATCGTGCAAAATATGTTGTAAACAACTAATAGGAAATATTAAATAGAAAACGTCATGGTGCAAAGATTGTCTTACACTTATTAGGAAATCATGTTTATTCCACCATTGATAATACATAAATAAAATAAATTTAATCTTTTCATTTTTAATTTCTTTTTCTCTCCTGATATAATTTAAGCAAGAAAACGATCAATATGAAGAATCAATTTTTTTTAAAATCGAAACAAGCATTTTTATTTCTTTTTGAAATTAATGGTAGTTAAATCTATGATGACCTATACGTGTACATGGTTTGAATAAAAATATATATTTATTTTTTTTAAATGATGGCAGTTAAATCTTTGATGACTTACATATTTGTATTGGTGTAAATAAAGGTTTGACCAAGATCACTCCTGCTAAAGGAACCAGTTTTCAAAGGATTTAAGAAAATTCCTATCTATTGAAAAGACACTGTTGTTGTCAAAATTGAATGGGCATTCGAAGGACGCACTTCTACTGAAAGGCCGACAGTGCACGCTGTGAATCTGCCCAATCAATTCGGTTTACACTGTATGTTTGATTACCGGCTAATCATTTTATAAAGAGGATTTTATCACCTTATTTGCTAAAAATCTTAAGTGCTATTCTCAGCAAGTCGACAAACCGAGACGAAGATTACTCTGTTCTTCACTTCAGATTCTTGAAACGAATTCCTTCACGATAACTCTGTCTAAAAAAGAAAATATTGAATTTAAATTCAAAATCAAAGTGTGTTACTAAAAAATGTAGTGATAAAAAGTCATGCCGTTCAAATATATCTTTCAAGATAACAACGAAAATTTCCAATATGTAGTAGATCTTAAAAGAAGGATTTGGAGATAATAAACAGTATTCAAGTAAATAAAACAATAAAAAATGGGAGCAGAGCAAACTTGTACCTCCAAAACATCAGAGGTGGGATCAAGTGCCATGGAGGAGTGAGCATCCCCTGCCAACCTGTCACACCCGCCGTGTTCACCTTTTCATGATCGGGGAATAACGAAAACAATCCGTCGTCAATTCAGTGTATAAATAATGGACTAACAATTATTATGAAAAACGTCAGTCAGCATTTGACTCAATGATAAATTGTATTTGCTAACAAGGTCATTGTAGCAACCAAAGAACTTACGAAATGATGACTTTAAACGAGATTGCTGATATTCTTATGTCATCAACTTGCTTGTCATTAATTTTCTTCGTTTTAGAAATGTTTATACGTAGAGCATGCTCTTGCGTATCGAATCAACTGAGATATATACAATCCGTATGCTGGTGGTGAAGGTATATTGCTGCATAAGTAAGGAAAAATGACGATAGAAAAGTTAAAGTTATCATGTCTATCATATAGCTTTGTGGTTAGATTACCATCAACGTCTTTTCAAGTAAAATATCCAAGTATGAAACTGATGTGTCAGACTCTGTGGTATCTTTTATCTGAAGCTCACCAGGATATGATTATCTTATCGACGTAGTAATGGAAATTACAATTGTTAATTGACAATTCGTCGTCGATATATCTAATTGTCGAGTTGATTCCACAGCAAGTTATTTCTTCTTTTCACGGATAAAATTTTGCACAAATTCTGCTTCATATGAATATAAAAATGAGGCTGCTAATAACGGAGAGCTATATACTGTTAGTTATAATATTTCTCTGTTACATTTCGGATTTTTTATATACATGTATACAGTAGACTTGCAAAATATAAACATATCAATTTTGATTTCATTAATTTTTAAAATTAAAAAAAAAAAATATACAGTAAAGTACATGCTGAAATATCCATAATGCTGTGAACATAAGAAGGGTTCATTAGGAAGAAAGAGAGAAAAAAAAATCATAAATATTCATATTAATGATCTTTTTATACAGATCTTTTTAAAGATACATTCGATGAACATTCACAAAAATAAACAATACTGTAAAATGAAGTGCAAAAGCATATATTATCATTGCTAACAAATGACGCTTATCGAAATAAAACAAGATATAATACACATAACGAATTCTCAAATTTCCAAAACAATCGGCAAGGTTGATATAATAAACGTTACAAACAGTTTGGGGCAAAAGTTTCAGATAAGTATTTAGTCATTTGTAGAATATTTTAGTTTTAAATATGTACATGACATGCAGAAAAATACCGGTATTACAGAAGAACTAAACTCAATCGAATTATAGAGCAGTGCAAAACACTAATAGTTTAAATTACATGTCTATTTTATCGAGAAAAAAAACTTTAATGATAACCTAAAAAATTTTAATAAAATAAAACAATATCAAAAATAAATAAAACAAAATAAGTTAATTTTAAAGAACAAACGATTTTTGTATTTCAAGTTTATTTTCTTTTCTATTTTTGTATATAATCTATATTTTAATACGATATTACATATATTTACACATATAAACATATCTACATAAAGTGGATAGCCCTTTGCATCAAGAACCTGTAGAGAATCAGTCCAGTATCTGTATTTACTACAGAGTCTGGTAACTTGTGTCCTTAAAAAGATCTCTGGTTTCCTTGAACGTTGTCCACTGTAAAAAAATAAAGCATTAGATAAACCACTTTTTTTTTACATGCATTAACCCCCTTCCCCGCAGTCACGCATTTTAACGCATACACCATTTCCTATTTCTAACGCAAAATCACGCATATACCGTTTCCCCGCAATCACGCATTTTCACGCACTTTAAAAAGTTCATTTTATCTTTAATTAAATACCAATTTCCTTTCATTATATACTTGTAAAAATCTCATAAAATAGGAAAAGTTATTTTTGCATCAAAATATAACGTCAGAATATTATTTACGCTAAACTTTATAGAAACGTGTACCACACTAAAAGGTGCCTGCGGGGAAATGGTAAAGTTCTATTTTTATGACGTGGACATTAAGTGTATGTTGCATAACAGTTCAGTAAGTTGTAAAGTGTTAAGAATCTAATCTTATTTTCCTCTTCTTTCTTTAAGGGCAAACACAAAGTGGGTATACATGTACCTTAAATGTGACATTCTTACTGATAATTAAATTAAATTAAATAATTATATTGTTTTACCGTGACAATGGCAACAATAGATCCTGCAAAGCTAACCCAAAATGACCACCCCCTGGTGTCATGTGTATACTCTGCAAAAACAGCCACACAGCCTATCAGTCCTAGGATGCCTAAAATATCCATAGAAAATTAATTATACATATATACAGATTTATTGATAAAACTATCATTGAATTTAATATTAAACAAAGATACCATTTTAACTGTTGTAATATTTGCAATATTTGGATATAATTAAATAACTAGATACTTTTTATATACTTTTTTTAAAAATTTTTTTTATTTCTATTACATGTACATTACTAATTATTAAGGTCTTCCGACTTCCTTCGGAAGACCTTACTGTTTTTCTTATGTTTCCTATTATTATTATTATTCCCTTTTCATAGTACACGTGATTTCTCGGAAACTACTGGACCGATTTCAAAGATTTTTTTCAGGAATGATGCATTGTTATAATATCTCCAGACCATTTTTTTTTTATTTTTTGTAAAATCACTTCCGGTCACATTTTTTGTCCGATTTTCTTTTTTTTAATTGCCATTTTGTCCAAGCAACTCCTTCTTAACCACTCAAGATTTAATCACGATAATTTCGGGGATGATAAAACATCTCTTTCAGTTATGCATGGCATCTTTTGATTTTGCATCCGTCACTTCCGGTCGACACAGGAAGTGAAATTAATTTTCGACATTTTTTGAAAAATTTAACCGTTTTGAATAGTGGCAAGTAAAACTTATGTTCACATTAACAATCGTCAACAAAACGCATTCATTTGAATAACTTCCGGTGTAAACCGGAAGTAGTCGAAAAATTAAACATTTTCTCTTGCGTCAAAAGAAATAGAACAAATGGTTTTATGTGAGTTTTTTTTCAAAGTTTTTTTGTACTTGTGACTTTGACGTCAGCCGGAAATGATGCCTAAATTGTCTGAATTCGTCAAATGATGTCACTTCCGGTCAAACCGGAAGTAGCCAAATTAGCTTATTTTGAAGGTTTTGACGTAAAATTGAAAACTTTTAAATTTAAGAGACACTGAAGGCGTCTTAACTCATTCTTTTCTCTTGATGACGTCACTTCCGGTCAAAACTGGACGGAAGACCTACTCGTTGCTTTGCAACGAGCTTTGCTCTAGTTGTATATATTATTATCAAAACTATATAAATCTTGCTGTAAAAACATCTAATATGCCTTTTCATCCCCAAAGAATATCTTAATTTGAAAAAGAACATTTTCAGTTTCCAAACATAATGATCAAACCTCCAATCCCAAAGAAAAATGCGCAGATACAGCGAGCCCTTGCTGTCATGGGATTGTTTTCACCATAGCAACACTCTAGGACGATATTTACAATGGTTGTCATGGCAAGCAGGGCAAAGGCGGCAGACTCCAAACCCAGGACCGCGGAGTGGAGGTCTGAAATCATAAAAGGTATTGCATGTTGTGAGTTACTTAAAGATGGTTATATTCAGACAAAAAACGATCAATTAATTAACTGGTAAACATAATCAATTCATAATTTCAAAAATCTTTATATAATATCATAAAACCTGCAAGTTATATATGTGCATGCAATATTAATGCATCCAGTGAAAATTTGAACATAAGTTATGTAACTGATTTCTGGACTTAATATCCGTTATTTTGTGTAAACTGAGAAGAGGGAATATAATTTAAAGAATATCATTTACTTTTAACCTCTGTGTTTGCACCTTCAGTTCAGTTACACTGTATATTTCTATCTTTGAATAAAAAAAAATGAATCAAAATGAATTTGATGTATAACTAAATTAAAGTAAATCTTTAATTCATTTAATGTTCGGAGGTTGGTAAAAATTAATCTGAATCTAATATAAAATAGATGCAATTGTCTTGAAGGTATGCACAAATATTTGAATTTATGAAAAATTTGGCATTCCACAGGAAAGCACAATGCATAAGAAAATATAGACAAATGTCTTGATATTTTTGTATGAAAAAAATAAACGGAGTTTACTAATTGGTGCAGGAAAGAAGCGGGTTTTATAAGAGATAAAAAAAAATTGTCTTTGATTTAAATATTGATGTAGGTAGCAAATAATCTTTGTTTTATATAATGTTTAACATAATGTTTAATTGCATTCATTGGCACCATATTGAAAATCGAAAAATCGATTGATTTATTCCACGAGAAAATATGATATATCAGGGGCGGATCCAGGAATTGAAGTTAGGGGGCACAAGATTTAGGCAGGGGGTCTGAAGGTTTTGAAGGGTAAAAATGAGGTCTATACCAAGTAGACATTTTTAACATTTTCTCGAAAAAACAATGTTTTATGCTAACTTTGACAATTTTAGGGGGGCGCACATGGTACAGCCCCCTTAAATCCGCCACTGTATATGGTTGACAAACTATGCATGTGACTAAAGGTCGCATATTTACTTGTTACGCCACTGGAATCCCTAATTAGCTTGTTCGCAGATCAGAATGGAAGTAAAATGTTTTCTACTTTCGTTTTGAATAAACAGAATTTTCTTACGCTTAAACATCTTATTTGCAAATATTGTAAATTGTAATTAATACTTAATGATATAATTTTCTGAAACGAACCTATACATTTTATTTTAAGTCTTTGACATGTTTGAGGCACTTTGTACTTTAACGTTTTTTGTAAAAAAAAAAATACATACATGTAACTATTAATGCATTTAGTGGTTATATATAAAAAGTATCTACCTTCAACTTCACTGGTACAATTCTTATTAACGAGAAGTCCTTGTGTACAGTTATACTTTTCATTTTCAATCCAGTGAGGGGTGAAAAACCCCACCCCCAGTAAGGCCAGGGCGGGGAGGTATTTACACAGCAGAAAAAATCCACGGTGAACAGATTCACGCGACATACTGCCCCCTGTAATTCTAATTCCAATATCAAAGTCAAGATAAATGAAAAAAATATTCAACCAGGTGCTTAGCTTGCAATATTGCGTAACACGCAAGACAATTCGCTTTGTTTAAGCTTTGTGACCCAATTCTTTTTTATTCATGAAGAATTAATTCACGTGACGGCATATTTATAGAAATTTAACAGGATGTATATTTAGAATAGAAACGCAATGTGAAATAAAGGCATTTTATTTATAAAACCTCCTCCAAGAATCCATCAAACTTTTTTACAATAAGTAAACGAATACATAATTGAAATATTGTACGTTCCTTGCAGTATACATGTAAGGTTTTTTTTTTAGAAAGATGTTAGCATCTTTAGTATTGCATTAAGATTAATAAAAACCACATTTATTTAAAGAATGACTCTAATTCTTGGCCAAATTATTCGATTATATAACGTCGCCCACGTGGCGCAGTGGTTAATTAGAGCGTCTGCTCTAGAGTCGCGAAGTAAGGAGTCAATCCTTACGTCGCGGGTTCGAATCCCACTGCGAGACGTGGAGACCGGTCCTTCGGATGAGACCGTGTAAACCTAGGCCCCGTGTCGCAGTAGGTGCTGGCACGAAAAAGATCCCTCACTGCTCAAAGGCCTTGAGTGCCGAGCATAGGACAAAATTTGTAGCCCTCCACCGGCAAGTGGTGGAGTCTCCATATGAGTGAAAAATTCTCGAGAGGGACGTTAAACAATATACAATCAATCAATCGATTATATAACCTGGTTTGGGTCAGTTTACGCTTTATAACCGCGAAGCAGATTATAAAAAAGCGTAAACTGACCCAAACCAGGTTATAATCGAATAATTTGAACAAGAATTAGAGTCATTCCTATAATTTAATTTTAAAATAATTAAATTATGTTTTGTGTTCCTTTTTGGAAATCAACCAATGAGAGAATAGAATACAAACAAAATTAAATTATTCAGATATATCTCAGGCCTACAATATGCAAATTGAAAATTGGGTGGTTGTACATTTTTCTAAAAAATCTTTTGCTGTTATTTTGATTCATGTTTGTATTTTTTATGTTTTATAGAACTCATATTCAAAATCATATGTCATTTGTCAGTTTTAGAAATTTTTAATGTTCCACAGAGCCAAAATAAATTTGAACTACCAAATATATATTGGATTCCGAAACTTTAAAAAAAATTCTTAATATGATACATTGCGGGTTCCAGTAAATGTTCAACCAAGCCTCTTTCGCTACTCCTCATTTAGACATTGACAGTAGTGAAGGAAGACTTCAAGATTACTGTGAAACAATATATTCAAGAAGTGGTGTGAATCAGATGTGGATACTCGAAACTTCCAAAGAACTTTTAGACTTGTAATTTAAAATCACAAAATTTTACCAAAATAAACAGCTTTAAAACTTGACATTTAGATATATCGACGACATATTGTCGATTAACAATTGTAATTTCCATTCCTACGTCTATACGATATATCCTGGTGAGCCTTAGATAAAAGATACCACAGAGTCTGACACTTCTGGTTCATACATGTACTTGGATATTTTACTTGAAAATGCCGTTGATGGTAATCTAACAATCAAGCTACCGGGTATATGATAAACGTGATGACTTTAATTTTTCTATCGCCAACTTCCCTTCTTATGCAGCAATATACCTTCATCACCTGCATACGGAGTATATATGTCTTTTTTTTTTTTTGGATAAATCTGTTTTAAGACCTGCAGCTTCCAAACATTGTTCTACATTGTGCTGTATATATCGTTGCATTTGAAAAAATTAACATCATTTTCTGTAACATAAAATTCTTCTTTTAATATGCTACACATTTAATTAAGAAAAATTTCAACAGAACTGCAACATCCTCTTTGACCATATGGTCTTGAGACACTGCATACCATTAATGTTGACCCTCTGACCTTAACATAGGAAAGTGACCTACTTTTGAAAAAACTTTAACCTTGGTCTTAACTTTTGAACAATTAGGATCAGTGCTTTCATACTTCACACAAGTAGAGCTTTTTAAAAAAGCTTCCCGTCTTTAGCAACAATTCTAAACAGTAAACAGATCTACACTTATCAGACCGTATAACTCTTTTGAATTTCTTGATTTTGTATTTCTAAATTAGCTTTTTACGGGCATAAGCCCTACCACGGTTGTCGCTCGGTCATCTCCGTAAACTTTGACGCCGAGAGCTTTCGGCAAACCTCGGCTGATTCTCATTCTTTCTTCAAACAAGAAAGGGGAAAAGAATAATAACAAATTGTAAAGCCTGAAAGCAATACCTATCAAATTTTATTTATAATGAAATTAAAGAGACCTTTTTATTTATTGCTATAAAAAATATCATGTTATTAAGAAATAATTACTGCTGATTTTGATTTTGTTGTTCGTTTTGTAATTTTGTTAAGATTGGAAATCTTGCAAAATTGTTAAGTCGTACGAAAATTAGATCATCAGAAAGTTATCTCCCTTGCCTCGAACAGCATTTCAACCAATGAAATAATTGAAAATTTTCTCATCATGTAATTTCTACCAATCACAAAAAAGAGGAAGTGCATAGTCCGAAGACTGTAAAAACTTCAACTATACAATACCGTCTTCCAAGGAAGACGGTAATAAGCAATTGTTGTGACAAGACCTTTCACTGGATAACAACTTTGATCTTGGAGTTCAACCTACCTTAACCTTGTCCATAACTTTTGAACGGTTAAAGCTAGGGCTTTCATTCTTTACATGTTAAATTGACAAGATCCTTGAGTTCATACATGTGTATACATTGGATACGGACAAATTTGACCTTTTGTCCTTAACCTAGGAGTTTGACCTATTAAAAAAAAAACTTTAACCTTGGGCAAAACTTTTGAACGGTAAAGGCTAGAGTTTTTAGCTCACCTGAGCTGAAAGCTCAAGTGAGCTTTTCTGATCACATTTTGTCCGGCGTCCGTCTGTCTGTCTGTAAACTTTTCACATTTTCGACTTCTTCTCAAGAACCGCTGGGCCAATTTCAACCAAACTTGCCACAAAGTATCCTTGGGTAAAGGGGATTCAAGTTTGTTCAAATGAAGGGCCACGCCTTCATTCAAGGGGAGATAATTGGGAATTAATGGGAATTTTGTGGCATATTTTAAAAATCTTCTTTTAAAGAAACCACTGTGCCAGGAAAGATGAAACTTATGGGGAAATATCCTCAGGTAGTGTAGATTCAATTTTGTTCAAATCATGACCCCGGGGGTAGGGCCGGGCCAAAATGGCCGACCAAATTTTTACATAGAAATATATAGGAAAATTCTTTAAAAATCTTCTTCTCAAGAATGACAAAGCCATAATTTATCATATTTAAATGGAAGCATGCTCAGGTAGTGTAGATTTAAGTTTGTTCAAATCATGACCCCCGGGGGTAGGGCGGGGCCAAAATGGCAGACCAAAGTTTTACATAGAAATCTATAGGAAAATTCTTTAAGAATGACAAGGCCATAATTCATCAAATTCATATGGAAGCATGTTCAGGTAGTTTAGATTCAAGTTTGTTCAAATCATGACCCCCGGGGGTAGGGTGGGGCCAAAATGGCCGACCAAAGTTTTACATAGAAATATATAAAAATATTCTTTAAGAATCTTCTTCTCAAGAATGACAAAGCCATAATTCATCATATTATATGGAAGCATGCTCAGATAGTGTAGATTCAAGTTTGTTCAAATCATGACCCCCCGGGGGTAGGGCGGGGCCAAAATGGCCGACCAAAGTTTTACATGAAATATGTAGGAAAATTCTTCAATCATCATCTTCTCAAGAATGACAAAGCCATAATTCATCATATTTATATGGAAGCATGCTCAGATAGTGTAGATTCAAGTTTGTTCAAATCATGACCCCCGGGGGTAGGGCGGGGCCAAAATGGCCGTCCAAAGTTTTACATAGAAATATATAGGAAAATTCTTTAAGCATCATCTTCTCAAGAATGACAAAGCCATAATTCATCATATTTATATGGAAGCATGCTCAAGTAGTGTAGATTCAAATTTGTTCAAATCATGACCCCCAGGGGTAGGGCGGGGCCAAAATGGCCGACCAAAGTTTTTAAAGATATGTATAGGAAAATTCTTTAAAAATCATTTTCTAAAAAATAGCAAATCCATGATTGGTCATGGGACTACTTTTTGATTTAAACTTTACAATAAAAACCATTTTCTACTTTTTCCTACCCTTAGTGCTCAAGTGAGCGATGTGGCCCATGGGCCTCTTGTTATACTTCACATGTATAATTGTTGTGACAATACTTTCCCGTCGGATACCAACAACCTTGACCTTTTAACCATGACATAATTTTGACCTGTTTAAAAAAAATCTTGGTCATATCTTTTAAACAACTGGGGCTAAAGATATCAAACATAACAAATGTAATCTTTGTGACGAGACCGTCCTTTGCATACTAACAACTTTCACCCTCTAAATTTAAGTTTGACCCACTTTTAAAAAACTTCAACCTTTGCAATAACTTTTGAACAGTAGATTCTATGTCTTTCATGATTGACAAATGTACTTCTTGTGAGAACTCCTTCCTTTGGATACCAACATATTTGCTTTGCGATTTAGAAAGTTTAATCTTGCTATAAGTTGCCATACAGCGGCATCAGTGTTTCACAAATAAATCTTGTTTATTCTTGAACATAGTTGTTGCAAAAAAAAAAAGAGATGTATTTGTGAAACACTGATGCAAACATATGGCAAAGTTGCCAAGGTTAAATTTTCTCAAATACAAATCAAACATGCTGATCCCCAAAATAAAACCTTTTTACAATACAAATATGAAATATAAAATCTTATAGCACCATCTGTTCAAAATATATGACCAATGTTTTTTTACAAGAAGGTCAAACTTTAAGGTCAAGAGATCAAAGTTGTTGGTACATGTATCCTATGAAAGGTCTTGTCACAAAAAGAAAATATGTAAAGTGAGAAAGTCCAAGTTCCAAAAGTTCAAAAGGTTTGGCCACTGAGTAAATGTTTGTTTATGATGACTACAAAGATTCATATAGTTATCTTCTGGACAAATCAAAATTACCATGCCTCAAAGTCAGGCGTATTAGAACAATGGCCATAGAATGTTTTAAGATTTTAAACAAGCAAAGCCCGTCTTACCTGCATGATTTTATTCATATTAAAGAAACACCTTATTCTTTTAGATACATGAAAACTGCTGTTTTACCAAAAACAAGATCAACAAGAGATGATTCTGCCAAAACTTTGGAATTCTTTACCAGAATCTTTTAGAAATATTACTATTTTAAACCCAACATAGTTGGTACGGAAATTGTTGCAATTGATGTGCCTGTCACTAATTTTATTTTTAGAAACTAGTAAACAGGGCCGGGTTCAAGTTATTTTTGGTTTGTCAGTTTTAATGTGGTTAAAACTATGTCATTATAAAACACCACGGAGGAATAGTGATATTTTAGTAGTGTGATGTAATTCTTAACAAGAGGCCCAGGGGCCACAGCGCTCACCTGAGCTCATCGGGCTTGAATTTACCCCCCCCCCCCTCCAGGCGTTCATCATTTGAACAAACTAGAATCTTCACTACCTATGGATGATTCCATATAAATATCATTTATCATAGCTTTGAAGTACTTGAAAAGAAGATTTTAAAATGTTTCCCTATATATCACTATGTAAAACTTGGGTCGGCAATTTCGGCCCCACCCTTGTCCCGGGGGCCATGATTTGAACAAACTTGAATCTACACTACCTGAGGATTATTGCACATGAGTTTAATCTTTCCTGGCCATGTGGTTCTGTAGAAGATTTTAAAAGATTTTTCTCATATATTCCTATGTAAAACTAGGGTCGGCCATTTTGGCCCCACCCTTGTCCCTGGGGTCATGATTTGAACAAACTTGAATCTACACTACCTAAGGATGATTGCACATGAGTTTCATCTTTCCTGGCCATGTGGTTCCGTAGAAGATTTTTCTAATATATTCCTATGTAAAACTAGGGTCGGCAATTTTGGCCCCACCCTTGTCCCGGGGGTCATGATTTGAACAAACTTGAATCTACACATTCCTAAGGATGATTGCACATGAGTTTCATCTTTCCTGGCCATGTGGTTCAGTAGAAGATTTTTAAAGATTTTTCTCATATATTCCTATGTAAAACTAGGATCAGCCATTTTGGCCCCACCCTTGCCCCGGGGGTCATGATTTGAACAAACTTGAATCTACACTACCTGAGGGTGATTGGGGGGGGGGTAAGGGCCAACTTTTCGAAGCCAACTTACTATCACTTCCAATTTTTTCCTTACATTCCTTGTTATCTCTATACTATGGTATTAAGTGGGGGGCCAACCAACCTTTCAATGAACATTTACTATAGTAAAGGTAATGTTGGGGAAAAAAGTGGGGGGGGGGCAGGCCCCCCCGTTGCTACGTCCCTGGCCACAATGCTCACCTGAATTTCTTTTGCCATGCTGTATAGCAGATAAAGCAGGTGACACAAGTTCCTTGAAACACTCTAGTTAAATGGATGACTGCACTTAACGCCGGTTTTTGGGTCTTTTTCAATCTCTGTTATCACGTTTATTTCCAAGTTTGATCTATTTCCAAATTAAATGCAATGTCCTTAAGGTCATAATCTGCGTTGCAATAAAATAAATCGTTGTTTTCTAACCCCAACTCTCTGCAAATATCTGGAAATTCGACTTATCTGCCCTTGATTGAAGATAAGATTTATGAATATGCATAAGAGGTGGAGCTTATGTTGTATTGAGTGGTCTAAAATTAGAAAAGTTACTGTATTTATATTTGGTGCATTCTCTCTCTCCCTCTCTCTCTCTCTTGTCATCATATGTTTGTTACTATTATTTTTAAAGTTTTCAAATAAAGTATATAACATCGATCGGTAGAAAGCCATTCTCATTGATAATCAATACCAATGGATGATGTCAACAATACCATTCGCGTGTTCGAATTTAAGTGCCGACTAGCTCAGTCGGTTATGCTGAGAATCAATAATATTCAGGTCCGGGATCGAGTCAAGCTAACAGCAAAAAACTGACTTTTTTTCCCTTTTATTAAAAAAGAAAGAAAAACATCACAATTACTTATGTTTTTTTAGTTTCTTTTGTGATTGCTTTTCCCCTTAAATTAGCGTGCTGATGATGGTATGATTTCAATTTTATTTACTGGAACTTACTTAGGATGTTCATGTTAAGCAATGGTTCAAAACATAATAGATAAATCTCGTTTTTTCTTATAGACTACGAGCATGTAAGGACATATAATGCACTCCAAAATATATAAAGATAGTAAAATTAAACGCTTTTGAGATAAATATAAGAAAAATCTTATAGATATCTAAGAGAAAAAAGAATAGCCCGTGGCTCGATGGGAATCGATTGAAACAGATATGGACAATCACTATCGCCCAGCAGAATGCGTGTTTCCTGACACGTCACGTGATGGAATTTTAGTATTCACAGAGTTACCTGGGTATAGAAATCACGTGGTTCATTATAATATTCAACAGGTAACAACGTGGTCAAAATGGCCTGTTTACTATAGAGAAACTTAACACACGAAGAAACAGTTTTTTCTCTTTTTAACCATGAGTGCATGTTTGTCTATTGATCTCCTTTTAATATGAGGTAATATATATAATTATACAACTACCATAAAAAGGAGAACAATAGACAAACATGCGCTGACTATGTATTAAGCCTGTAAAAAGGTGGGCATACTCATTATCCTATGGAGATTCCAAAATATACGATGACCCCTCCCTATAAAAACAGCTTCGAACTTCGTTGATACGAACTTTTAATTAACGTTATTACACAAAGTTGCAGTAAAGACATTGACCATTTCTACCAATAAAAGAAAAATGCCCATTTTAAAAATTAATTCTGTCGCAATTTCTAAGTTTCCTTAAGTGCAATCATCCTTTAAACTTCCCTTTACCCATTTTGTGTGTTTTGTACAAAGTTTTGCTGAAATTGGCCGAGTGATTCTTGAGAAAAAGGTAAAAAATGTTAAAAGTTTTCAGATGAACTGACAGCTAGACAGATGGATGGATAGATAATGGATGATCAGAAAACTTAAAGTGAGCTAAACAAGAGGCCCATGGGCCACATCGCTCACCTGAGTAACTTGGGTGATGAAGTTCTTTACCAGACTTCCCCTCTAGCAATACCTATCATCCCCCCCACCACCTCCCCTTTCATGATTTTAATACTTTAGAGTCTACACTACCCAAGGATGCTTCCACATAAGTTTCAGCTTTCCTGGTCCAGTGGTTTTTGATAGGAAGATTCTTAAAATATTTTTCCTAAATATATCTATGTAAAACTTATATTCCATGTTGTGGCCCCGCCCTACCCCTGGGGGTCATGATTTTAACAATTTGATATCTACACTACCCAAGGATGCTTCCACATAAGTTTCAGCATTCCTGGCCCAGTGGTTCTTGAGAAGAAGATTTTTAAAGATTTGTTCTATATATTTCTATGTAAAACTTGGATTCCCTATTGTGGCCCTGTCCAAACCCTGGGGGTCATGATTTTAACAATTTAATATCTACACTACCCAAGGATGCTTCCATATAAGTTTCAGTTTTCCTGGCCCAGTGGTTCTTGAGAAGAAGATTTTTAAAGATATGTTCTATATATTTCTATGTAAAACTCATATTCCCTATTGTGGCCCTGCCCTACCCCCGGGGTCATGATTTTAACAATTTAATATCTTTATACTACCCCAGGATGCTTCCACATAAGTTTCAGCTTTCCTGGTCTAGTGGTTCTTGAGAAGAAGATTTTTAAAGATTTGTTCTATATTTTTCTATGTAAAACTTGGAATTCCCTATTGTGGCCCCGCCCAACCTCCGGGGGGTCATGATTTTAACAATTTAGAATCTACACTACCCCAGGATGCTTCCACATAAGTTTCAGCTTTTCTGGCCCAGTGGTTCTTGAGAAGAAAATTTTCAAAGATTTTTCCTATATATTTCTCTGTAAAACATTGATTCCCCATTGTGGCCCCGCCCTACCCCAGGGGTCATGAATTGAACAAATCAGAATCTACACTACCCCAGGATGCTTCCACATAAGTTTCAGCTTTAGTGGCCCAGTGGTTCTTGAGAAGATTTTTTAATGCCCAACCCTATTTTTGTCTTTTCTTGATTATCTCCACTTGCGAGGGGATATGTCCCTTCATTTTAACAATTTAAATTCCCCTTCACCCAAGGATGCTTTGTACTAAGTTTGGTCAAAATTGGCCCAGTGGTCTTGAGAACAAGTCAAAAATGTGAAAAGTTTACAGACGGACAGACTGACAGACAGACGGACAACGGACAAAATGTGATCAGAAAAGCTCACTTGAGCCTTCGGCTCAGGTGAGCTAAAAAGAATATTAAACAACATGATTTTTACAAGTTTTAACTGTACCTATTTTTCATAGGAAACAAAACATTTTTCAAGTAACAATTATTTTCAAATAGAGTAATAAGAATTTGGGTGTTTTTTTTTTGTTGCAAAATCGCACTCCCTTCCAATAGCAACTTCACTGATATAAGCAGTTTAGTGTTTCATGTTTTCATGTCGATGGTCAATGAGCGTCTCGTCTCTCCAGCATAGTCCTTATGAGCAAGAGTGCTTTGAACAAGACCTTGCGATCTTCTCTGTTTAAGAAATTGTAACGTTTACTGTAGAAAAATCGAGGTTGCTCCCCTTCTTCGTATTGCACAGATCCAGCTCTGTTACCAGGGGTGTTTTTAATTTTACTCCAACCAGACTTTGTCACATCAAGGTATGTAACTCGTACCTAAATAATAAAAGAAATATAATAATCTATAGCTAGTGAAGTGAATTTTGTCACTAACATTGTCATAAAGGGGTTAGAGAGTGTGTGTATGTGTATGTTGGGGGGGGGGGATTAACCAACAGCAGAAGTACAACTGAAGACAGTAAATAAATAAAAGATCTAAAAACATAAATATCTAATAAGCAAACCCCTCCAAATTTTTTGAATACACAGATAAAAGGGCCCCTGTTTGTCCCCTTAATAAAGTTTTAAGTCTTTCAATGAATGTTGTTGGTTCTTAACCCCCTTCCCTGCAGCCGCAGTCAGGCTAAAGTCTGAAAGGAAACATAAATCACTATCTGGTTACTAAACTTAGGAAAAAAAGACAAACAGTAAAGACTGTTAACTTGATCATCTAAAGAAGACAGTTTACTATATTATAAGTTTAAATGGATATCTTTGTATTGATTATTTTATGCATTTAAATTATTATATTTAAAAATAAATCAAACAAAAACTGTAATTGTTACTTATGATTGATTGTTTTATGTATTTTTTAGCATTCTCACTTTAAATGATTTTTCCCAAACTGAGGAAATGTCACTCAGGCCACACCAATTTAATTTCTTGTTGGTCCGACATTTGATGAAAAAAAAGTGCGAGCGGGCGAGCGGTTAAATAATAATATTATTACTTTTTGTAGGCAAAATTTATAGGCGAATCTTGAAAAAAATTTGAGCAGACAATTATATTTTTTTCTGATTTTCAGATTTAGCAGAAAAAAATACAATGAATAGAGCGGAAATAAAACAGAAAAAGCAGAGTCCCCTTGGTGCGGGAAATTTAAATTTATATTATTTTCGTAAGTTTTGTTTAAATAGGAGCACGAGGGTCCGACGTACAAAACATTTTAATTGGTGTGGCCTCATTATAATTTTCCAAAAATCTCTGTTAACCCTGTGAAGAGTGACATAAAAATTGTTCCATTGTAGCAGACTCAGGACTTGACCATTTCTTATTTTGAATATGTATACATGTATCAAATTTCAATTCAATATGTGCATCCATTTCAGTGAGAGTGAACAGAAACTAAAAATTTATCGGCATTTTATTGAGTCAAAGGGGCATAACTCAGAAATTGTTCCGATTTGCCCCAATCATTATATCTTTAAGTTTTAAATTTTATTGCAGAGCAAATAGTAATTGTATTCTCAAATTATATTTAAGTTTGAAAAAAATTACCCATGTCTTTTCAATAGTGAAGCCAAGTGTCCCCTGCCTGCTCAAAGAGCTATCCAGGTAAACAAAAAGTTCTCCTATGTGCTGGGTCAACAGATCGTGATCTCCAATAAAACCACATTCCTGTTGTTCCTGATCTTGTGTGGCCGTTCTTAGTTTTTTCCTTGGAGGGGAGGAATCAGGCTCTTCATGCCTCAAGTCTTTTTTCACCTGAATATAAATTAATTATCAGATAAACTCACACAAACATGGGTATACAATATACGTACATATGGTCTAACTAGAACTGTCCAAACGGGACAAAATACCCCCCGCTGGGTTTTTCAGAAGTAAGTTTTTCCATAACAAGAGGCCCATGGGCCTTATAGGTCACCTGAGCATTATGCAATAACTTTCCAGTGATTGAATTTGATTCATGTTTTAATCCAGATGCTATGGCATTCACAATTTTGAAAAAGGCACCATTGATCATCATAACAATACACTTAGCAGTTGCTTAGTTTGTTTACTTAATACCCATAGGCAGGGTAGGGGAACAAAAACTGCATTTCAAGTAATCAGTAATATTCAGCATGATCAGTAATGCCCCAATCACACATGAACCCCTGGCCCTTAGGCCTAGATCCACACATTGCACAATTTTTGAAAAGGCACCCTTGCTTTTCAAAAATATTTGATAAATACCAAGGAGCAGATTTCAAACAATTCATCCAGTTTCAGTATTTAAGTACAGCCCCCCTCCCTCCTTTATGGTACCCTTGACCCTGGGGCCTTGAAATTCACAATTCTGGAAGATTAGGACCCTTACTCATCATAACTACATAGGTAGTTCATCTGCTTAATACCAAGGAGCAGAGAAGAAAACTTTCAAAGATTTAGTGTATTTTCATTGTATAATCAATAAAGCCCCACCCTATCACTAGAATCCCTGACCCTGGGGCCATAAAATTCACAATTTTGGAAGAGGCACTCTTGCTCATCATAACTATGCACTTATTTAGTTTATTTAATACCCAGATGCAGAGAAGAAGATTTTCAAAGAAATAATGCATTTTCACTATATAATCTATAGAGCCCCCCCCCCCCTACACCAGAACCCCTGACCCTGGGGCCATCGAATTCACAATTTTGGTAGAAGCACTTTTGCTCATCATAACAAAGCACTTAGTTAGTTAATTCAATACCCAGGAGCAGAGAAGAAGATTTTCAAAGAATTCAAGTATTTTCACTATATAATCTATAGAGCCCCCCCCCCCCCCTTACACAAGAACCCCTGATCCTGGGGCCATAAAATTAACAATTTTGGTAGAGGCACTCTTGCTCATCATAACTATGCACTTATTTAGTTTATTTAATACCCAGGAGCAGAGAAGATTTTCAAAGAATTCATGTATTTTCACTATATAATCTATAGAGCCCCCCCCCCCTTACACCAGAACCCCTGACCCTGGGGCCATAGAATTCACAATTTTGGTAGAGACACTCTTGCTCATCATAACTATGCACTTATTTAGTTTATTTATTACCCAGGAGCAGAGAAGAAGATTTTCAAAGAATTCAAGTATTTTCACTATGTAATCTATAGAGCCCCCCCCCCCCCCCCCCTTACACCAGAACCCCTGGCCCTGGGGCCATAAAATTCACAATTTTGGTAGAGGCACTCTTGCTCATCATAACTATGCACTTAGTTAGTTTATTTAATACCCAGGAGGAGAGAAGAAGATTTTCAAAGAATTCATGAAATTTCACTATATAATCTATAGAGCCCCACCCTAACACCAGAACCCCTGACCCTGGGGCCATAAAATTCACAATTTTGGTAGAGGCACTCTTGCTCATCATAATTATGCACTTAGTTAGTTAATTTAATACCCAGGAGCAGAGAAGAAGATTTTCAAAGAATTTATGTATTTTCACTATATAATCTATAGAGCCCCACCCTAACACCAGAACCCCTGACCCTGGGGCCATAAAATTCACAATTTTGGTAGAGGCACTCTTGCTCATCATAACTATGCACTTAGTTAGTTTATTTAATACCCAGGAGCAGAGAAGAAGATTTTCAAAGAATTCATGAAATTTCACTATATAATCTATAGAGCCCCACCCTAACACCAGAACCCCTGACCCCGGGGCCATGAATTTCACAATTTTGGTAGAGGACTCAATGCTGATTACAATCATGCAAACAGTTTGACTGCTTGATGTTCAGGAGTAAAGAAGAAGATTTTTAAAGATTGCACTAATTTTAGTGGTTTTTGCCCCACCCCCCAGGCCCCAGGGGGGCAGGGCCCATGAAATTCACAATTTTTGTTTCCCTTCACCCATAGATGCTATATGCCAAATTTGGTTGAAATTGGTTCAGTGGTTTCAGAGAAGAAGCTGAAAATGTTCAAATGTTAACGCACGACGACGGACGAAAAGTGATAGCAATAGGTCACCTGAGTTTACTCAGGTCACACTCAGGTGACCTAATAAAGATACATGTATGTATCAAACACGAATTATGAAATATTTATTCCAGTGACCTTGAACTTCCCCAAATAACCTTGGGTCAAGGTCATGACACATCCTTGGGTCATCGGCAATCTTTCAGTGAAATGAGAACCCTACCAAGTTTATCCATAAGAAAGATATGGACCTGACTTGAATTATGAAATTTTTCTTCCACATTGAACTTCCCCAAAAAGACTTTGGGTCAAGGTAACTTCATTTGCGGGGGGTATAAAAATACAGTCAATTATTGATTAATCATGGCAGTATTACGAATTTTGCAATGAATAGAATTCTGCCATTTCTTTGTATGCCAAGAGTCAACACTGATAACTGACTACATTCTGGGCTCTAAATATTATAGTCACTCAAGGCAGGGGGTTTAATAATGCAGTTTGTTCATATAGAAAACTTGAACTTTCCAAAAGGCAAAAATACCCCCACTGGGTTTTTCAGAGGAATTGCCAAATTAATAATATTTGATGAGTCTAAGTCCTAAGAGTTGTTTAAAATTTGTTTATAACCATTTACACTCAAAAAAAAATTCTCATTAATTTTTTAATGAATGAAACTAAGGTACAATCTAATAAAACATCAATACTATTGCTAATACATTGTGTTTACATTGCTTTTACAATTATAAATTGAAAGAATATATGAGAACAGAGATCTTTAATCATTTTTACCAAAATCCCAGGAGAGATATGTGTAGATAACACATTCTGGAGAATGTAAGAAGGGCAAACATGCCCTTCCGTTTTGCATATATTTGACACGGTTTTTCGTAATGCTACAAATTAATTGTAATACTCGTATTACAGTTTTCTGTAATTATAGAGTAATTGGAAGGGCAAAATAATATTTCTTAATTTATTTTATTATCAGAGACTGTTTTGATATTAGAAACAAGCTTACAACAGTTTAATATTTTGTAATATATGGCTAACAACACATTCCTGTATATGAACAATCATGTGCTTTAGTGCCAATAAAGAATTGAATTGAATTGAATTATTCTGAGGTTTGACAGTTTTCCTAAAATTATTATAACATATATTCAGCATACTCATTTACAAACCTTCTAATTTTCTTAATAAAAAAAATTGAAATGGTTATATGTTACATATAGTTCAAGACACTTGCTTTGACAAACTGGCTAAATTTTGAAGTGACATTGGTCGGTCAAGTTCGGTTGGTTGAAAAACGATATCAAGTTATAAGATTTGATTAAAATAAATTATTATGAATTAATATCAATGTTTTCTAACCATCTGATAATTCCTTCATTTTCAAACACTTTTTAATGACACAATTTTGTACATGTACTATTAAAAGCTGCTTTCAAAACATAACATTATGTACATGTAATTGGTTTACACTCATCTCTGTAGAATTTTATATGCATGTTAAACTTACTCACATTTTTTATGTGCATATATCATATCAATCATACCTTACAAATAAAAACAACTTTCCTCTTAAATTTTTGTCTCGCTTGGGAACAAACCATTAAGTCAGCTCTTGAAGACATACTTCTCCCCCGAATCAAAGCTTTTTCAGGACTTATAAATGAGTGGTTCCTGAAAATAAGAGACAGGACTTGAGTCATTACACACAAAGTAAGATTAAAGGTATATACTGCTATTCTACTGCTCACAAATACACTCAAAATACAAGAGGCACATAGCCCTCACAGAAAAAAAATAATAGGAGCTCTTGTTTTATAAGCTACTTATAAACAATAAATCATCCATTAGCTAGTACACATCAAAGCCTTTGGCTCAGGCGAGCTATCCAAATGCCCAGGGATCACATTGCTAGTGCTGTGCGATATTACCGGTTAACCGGTGTATCCCGATTTCGTTCTTCACAATACGTATCACGGTATTTTTTTGTGAATACCGGTTCGGGTTCGATATGCTATTAATTGTTACAAAAACAGTGATTTCCCCTTCTCAAGGTAAAATATGGTGGCAAGCAACGTGAAGTTTGATCGGAAACCAGATACATGTCTGTCAGAGACGAAAAGACAACAACTGTTACATGAAAACCCTTCATGTTAAAGCAGAATCTGAATATTACAACTTGATTCTTAAAGTTGTGCCACAAAAAAACTTCGCTTGCCACTTGCGTTCACACAATGCGATCAGGCAGTTGCAATATATCTACTCGACAATACATGTAATTTGAGTTTGTGTTTTCATTTAACATTGATGAAAAGCAAAATTTATTAAAAATTTTATATTGTGATATATTGCAATACAAAATATAATATTGCAATATATCGCAATACGATTTTTCAGCCGCAATACCCAGCTCTACACATTGCTCACCTGGACACTGTGGCAAGGAATAAAGGAAAAATAAGCTACTTCAAAAGTATTAAAAAGTTTCAAAGCATAAGTATTCCCAAAGTACCCCTTAAAGGGAAAAAGGGGGATGATTTGAACAAAGTTGAATTTATACTGTACTTAGGCCAAAACAAATTAGTCTTGTTTCGTGCTACCCGACCTACCCTATATTTTGCACCCGACCCTAAGGTTTTTTTAAGGTTTTAGGGAAAAAAATAGAAATTGCAGGATTTTATGTTCCAAAAGTGAAAGAAAATAAACGTATTCAAATTGTATTTCATGAAATATATGTTTAAAATTTGGACTTTCATAAAATTCCACGTGAGTTGTGCATCAAAATACATGGAATTTTATTTTAAACAATGTTAAAATATAATATTGACCTAGCCATGACATGCTTACTTTGGTTTTGTAGTAGTACATATCCCAACAAGAGGCCCACGGGCCTTATAGGTCACCTGAGTATCATGTAACAACTTTCCAGTGATTGTATTTGGTTCGTGTTTTAATCCAAAAGCCATGAAATTCACAAATATTGAAGAGGCACCATTGTTTATCAAAGGGCAGATTTCAAAGCATTAATCTATTTTTAGTCAAAGTACCCCCCCTGGTACCCCTGACCCAGCGGCCCTGAAATTATCTATTTTAAAAGAGGCCCCTTTCTTCATTATAAGGCCAGCATTTTTTTGTTTAGGTTTAGTTATGAACATGAGAATAAAAAAGTCCTGAAGGAGAAGGAAATTAATTTTTTTTTTGATAAATGAATCAATTATTAACATTTCTACATTCTTTTATTATGCTATTCTAATAGGCTCCTTACCACTGGACACATAATGCTTACAAATAATGCTTACAAATAGGAAAGTAGAACATTTAATTGCTTATTTCATCATCTGCCAGTTTGGGCAAGTTATATAAATTTTGTGATGTTGGTCAAAATATATATTTTAATAAATCAATTCTTTAAAAGTCTTTCAATATGTCTTCATTTTTTTAATCTGTGTTAGGTGAATGTGTAGACATTGTTCTAAAATTTACTTGACATTGGCGGATCCAGAGGGGGGGTTCCGGGGGTTGGAACCCCCCCTTTATTTTTTGCCAAGTTGAGAGAGAGAGAGAGAGAGAGAGAGAGAGAGAGAGAGAGAGAGAGATGGAACGTTTTCCAAGAATACATATTTGTACGTCTAACGCATCTATCTATTGAACTAGAGAGATTTTCACACATTTAGTAACTTTCTTCCATTTATCTTCACGATTCCTTTTTTATGAGAGAATGGTAGAAAATATTCTACTTATTTTTATATATCTTATACATGTATATAATATGTATCATGCGAGGTTTAATTTGATATTAGATTCCCGCGATCTTTGGCTGTGTTGGGTATATATGTACCGTTTTTGATAATATCTTTTGTGGGAACTATTAAACCAAACCCCCACCCACCCCAGAAAGTTTGGGTTTTTTTCAATTTCTAAAAGAAAATTCTTTGTACTCTTCGGAAATGCTACAAATCCATTCAATTTTAAGGCTTCAGTAGTTTTTTTTTTTTGAAATGTGTTTCTTTGCTTCCAAAGAACAAGAGGCCCACGGGCCTTATAGGTCACCTGAGTATCATGTAACAACTTTCCAGCGATTGTATTTGGTTCGTGTTTTAAGCCAAAAGCCATGAAATTCACAAATTTTGAAAGAGGCACCATTGCTTATCAAAGGGCAGATTTCAAAGCATTAATTTATTTTTAGTCAAAGTACCCCCCTGGTACCCCTGACCCAGCAGCCTTGAAATTATCTATTTTGAAAGAGGCCCCTTTCTTCATTATCAAGCCAGCATTAGTTTTTAGCCGGGCTTATTTCTCAAAGAGCAATTACTGGCTTATGTGATCCTGTTCAAGGCAGGATGTTGACCCCATAGTCGCCATTTTAAAGTTACGTGCAAAAATATAGTTCTTACTCTCAACTGCTTTTGAGATAATACAAACGCTAAATAAAGCAACAAAAATAAAATGAAGTTTTATCTATATAAAATAAACATTAGTAGTAATGACTTTGAAAACTTCATAAGTCAAAGAACATAGTTCATTAGCGTAAGGATTTTTGATAATCAGTGTTACCGTAGTTCTCTACACATACGAGGTAAAGGAGGAGAGGGAAACAGACTGGTCTGTTTGTTTACATTCAGCTGCGGTACCAGATTAATTCTGATTCTGACAAAATCGGACCGTGGTATTAGGATTGCAAAACTTACTGTCAGTGTCTTATCATTTATATTGATAGTTTTAAAATATTTTTTTCATCAGAATATAAAAGTGATTCATGTAAGAAATCCATTCTACTCTGTAAATGAGCCCGGCTCTCTGTACTTCTGAGTACTTTGATTATGTTTAGGTTTAGTTATGAACATGAGAATAAAAATGTTCCGAAGGAGAAGGAAATAAAATTTTTTTTTTTTTTGATAAATCAATTATTAACATTTCTACATTCTTTTTTATGCTTTCCTAATAGGCTCCTTACCACTGGACACATAATGCTTACAAATAGGAAAGTAGAACATTTAATTGCTTATTTCATCATCTGCCAGTTTGGGCCAGTTATATAAATTTTGTGATGTTGATTAAAGTACATTTTAAAAAATCAATTCTTTAAAAGTCTTTCAATATATCTTCATTTTTTAATATGTGTTAGGTGAATGTGTAGACATTGTTCTAAAATTTACTTGATGCCTAAAATTATAATTCCTATCATAAAACAGACAGGGAGTATTGGGAAGTAGAGTCAACATTTTTTCAATTAAGTGTAAAATAATTTTTCTGGCTGATACAAATGATACTACATGCCTGTATATATTTGTATATTCTTGCCTTTTAATAGTTGATTTTTTTTTTATTTCTTCGGGTTATTTCTTCCTCAAATGGACTTCACTTCTCCCATAGTTTTATTCATTATATCTGATGCATAAGCAACCCTTTTCTGAAGAATGATGCTTAGACTGTAAGCTATAACAGAGACCTAAACAATGTCCCTGGCAATATGCAATAGCTACCACGGGCAGTTTAAAACATGGGGGAGGGAAAAAAAAATTACAGTTACTTTTGAAACGAATACATAATTATCTCACCAGCATGTCATTGTGCAACAAAGTCGTCAGCATTTTATTTGTCCTTTGAACGGGGGAAACGTTTTGAATGGTACTCTTATCGATGAATTTTACACTAAACCAAGCTATCTAGATCTAGCTTTATTTACCCGCTGTTTCAGAAAACCGGAAGTGCGAGTTCGTAAATTTGATATCTCGATCCCGACTCAAATTTGACATCGGAAAGAAATTTTTTTTTATTTTTTTCTCTGAAAATTCAAAATCTTGAGCGGAGGGTTTGTAAAACTGAATATAGAATAAATCCTGGCCTTCAATATGTAATTAGATCATTAGCATATTAACCAGGAGCAAAGGATAAGATGTTCAAAGAATTCATGCATTTCACTATATAATCATTAGAGCCCCACCCTAAAACAAGAACCCCTGACCCTGGGGCCATAAAATTCACAATTTTGGTAGAGGCACTCTTGCTCATCATAACTATGTACTTAGTTAGTTTATTTAATACCCAGGAGCAGAGAAGAAGATTTTCAAAGATTTCATGTATTTTCACTATATAACCAATAGAGCCCCGCCCTAACACCAGAACACCTGACCCTGGGTTCATAAAATTCACAATTTTGGTAGAGGCACTCTTGCTCATCATAACTATGTACTTAGTTGGTTTATTTAATACCCAGGAGCAGAGAAGAAGATTTTCAAAGAAATAATGCATTTTCACTACCTACTTATTTAGCCCCGCCCTAGCACTAGAACCCCTGACCCCAGGGCCATGAATTTCACAATTTTGGTAGAGGACTCATTGCTGATTACAATCATCCACACAGTTTGACTGCTTGATGTCCAGGAGTAAAGAAGAAGATTTTTGAAGATTGCATTAATTTTAGTGGTTTTGGCCCCACCCCTCAGGCCCCAGGGGGGTAGGGATCATGAAATTCACAATTTTTGTTCCCCTTCACCCATAGATGCTTTGTGCCAAATTTGGTTGAAATTGGTTCAGTGGTTGCAGAGAAGAAGCTGAAAATGTTCAAATGTTAACGCACGACGCACGACGACAGACGAAAACGGATAGCAATAGGTCACCTGAGTTTACTCAGGTGACCTAAAAAAGGGACGTAAAACAAAGATATTATTTACCACAACCTTATATAGATCTGTCCATACGTGTGTGTGAATCTTTGCTTGCGAGTGTGTAAGGGGGGGGGGGGGGGGGGGGTGTTAGAAGGACACAACCCTGGAACCCCCCCTTTCAAAAATTGCTGGATCCGCCCCTGCTTGATGCCTAAAATTCTTCCTCAAATGGACTTAACTTCTCCCATAGTTTTATTCATTACATCTGACGCATAAGCAACCCTTTTCTGAAGAATGATGCTTAGACTGTTTAAGCTATAACAGAGACCTAAACAATGTCGCTGGCAATATGCAAAAGATACCATGGGCAGTTTAAAACCTTGGGGAGGAAAATAATTTACAGACAGATACTTTTGAAACGAATACATAATTATCTCACCAGCATTTTATTTGTCCTTTGAACGGGTGAAACGTTTTGAATGGCACTAGTATCGATGAATTTTACACCAAACCAAGCTTCTTCTCAGATTAGCTTTATTTACCCGCCGTTTCATCTTAAAACCGGAAGTGCGAGTTTGTAAACTTGAAATCTCGATCCCGACTCAAATTTGACATCGGAAAGAAAAAAATTGTTTTTATTTTTTTCTGAAAATTCAAAACCTTGAGTGGAGGGTTTGTAAAACTGAAAATAAAATAAATCCTGGCCTATAATATACAATTAGACCATTAGTATATTAACCAGGAGCAAAGGATAAGATGTTCAAAGAATTCATACATTTCACTATATAATCATTAGAGCCCCACCCTAAAACCCCTGACCCTGGGGTCATAAAATTAACAATTTTGGTAGAGGCACTCTTGTTCATCATAACTATGTACTTAGTTAGTTTATTTAATACCCAGGAGCAGAGAAGAAGATTTTCAAAGAATTCATGTATTTTCACTATATAATCAATAGAGCCCCGCCCTAACACCAGAACCCCTGACCCTGGGGCCATAAAATTCACAATTTTGGTAGAGGCACTCTTGCTCATCATAACTATGTACTTAGTTAGTTTATTTAATACCCAGGAGCAGAGAAGAAGATTTTCAAAGAATTCATGTATTTTCACTATATAATCAATAGAGCCCCGCCCTAACACCAGAACCCCTGACCCTGGGGCCATAAAATTCACAATTTTGGTAGAGGCACTCTTGCTCATCATAATTATGTACATGTCACGGAATAACCCCGATAATTTTAGGGGTTTATCTGTTCTGATACGTTGTATCTGCGTTAAAATCTTAAGAAAACGGGAAACAAAGCCTCGTCCTATATAGTAAGTTCGACCTATCTTAGGATTTTTCAAAATTTAAGGCTGAAAATGAGCCTTTCGACCTGTATACCCCATCGACCTATATTCCCGAAATTACGGTAGTTGGTTTATTTAATACCCAGGAGCAGAGAAGAAGATTTTCAAAGAAATAATGCATTTTCACTACCTACTAATTTAACCCCGCCCTAGCACTAGAACCCCTGACCCAAGGGCCATGAATTTCACAATTCTGGTAGAGGACTCATTGCTAATTACAATCATGCAAACAGTTTGACTCTTTGATGTCCAGGAGTAAAGAAGAAGATTTTTAAAGATTGCACTAATTTTAGTAGTTTTGGCCCCACCCCTCAGGCCCTGGGGGGCAGGGACCATGAAATTCACATTTTTTATTCCCCTTCACCCAAAGATGCTTTGTGTCAAAGTTGTTTGAAATTGGTTGAGCGGTTGTAGAGAAGAAGCTGAAAATGTTTTCATATTAACACACGGCGCACGACGACGGACAAAAACGGATAGCAATAGGTCACCTGAGTTTACTCAGGTGACCTAAAAATACCATTGGAAAAAATAAAATATAATACAAAAATAAAATAATTTTCCTTCCTACCTACCCTATTGTTTTTTCAGGCTGGTGGTAGCAGGAAATAAAGACTTTTCTTGGCCTTACTACATGTACTAATTTCAAGGAAGCTCAACTTTTTCTTGACTATGACCTCTTTTCCTACAAGTTTGAGTTTTTTATGGACCCACCTGCCCCCGGGGTCATGATTTGACCAAAATTGAATCTGCATTTTATGAGGATGCTTCCATATAAAATGAACAACTATGGGTTTGCTGTTCTTGAGAAGAAGATTTTTGTAGATTTGTCATATATACTCCTATGTTAAACTTTGATCGTGCATTGTGGTCCCACCCTACCCAAGGGGATCATGATTTGAACAAATTTCAATCTACACTATCTAAGGATGCTTTCTGAGACTCATAAATTTATATGACCAATTCCAGCTTTGTTGTTCTTGAGAAAAAAAAATTGCATTGGATCACTTGAGAGACTCAGGTGGCCTAAAAAAGATTTTCACCTGTACATGTTTAATTATAAAAATTATATTATATATACTCACAGAGTGTATAATCCAAAGAGTTGCAGTACCTTGTCAAATAATGTCTCATATCTGCCTCCATATATTGCTGATTTTGAATTACTTCCAACAATTATTTCTGCCAGTATGAAATTGAAGTCGTCTAGTTTCACAAGAAACCTGCAAAGAAAAAAAAAAATTAAAACAGAATGAAACCAATTGTGAACCACAGTCATTACTAAGCGTACAAATGTTTTGACATGCTGAAAAATTGAAATGTCATAAATGACACTCTTTAAAGAAATTACAGATCAATTTACCATCATATTTCTTGGAAGGTAAGTTAACAGTGAGAATGAAATGTGTCTCCCCAGAGTAGTGATAAAGACAAAGGGGTAATGGTTAATTCAGAAAATTAATACAATAGCTTATAAATTTTTTTTTGCCAATTTTTTTTTCAAAAAATCCTTAGATAATTAAGTCATTCAGATGATAAGTAAATTATTTTCTAATGCTGATCAAAATTTGCATGTCCAATTTTAAATTGCTGATTAGAAAGTCATTGTATCCTGCCAGCATGCCATGGCAAGGGACATTCCCAATACTGCTAAAAATTATTCACCATAAACTATTAAAAAAAAAAGTAACTAGCATATTAATTTACAGTTTCCCTTTCCTTATACTTATTTATGTGACATATTCAATTTCAAACTCCTCTTTGCTTATAACTTTTGTTTTACTAATGGCATAATTTATCATTAATTTTGATATTTCATCAATATTTTGAGCACTGATCAATCTCAGTTTCCTGACAAGAATCATGAGAATTAAGCCCAACACATGTGGTTTTTAATAAAAGAAATAGAGTTGTCTCCTGTAATCAGAAAGAATGGGAAAATATATACATTAGGATAATATATGTGTAGCTATTCTATACATGTCAGGTACTTAGACTCTGCTGAATAGTGATTTTGTATATACCTTTAACATTGTTTAAGATTTAGTTCTTATTTAAATCTATACAAAATAAGTCTAACGTCTAACAATAATTTTAATTTCTAATGTTTTACTGAACCGTCATAAAACAAGTTGAACCAGAAGTCTCTGTCGAGACTGAAGCTCTTAGACTACTGGTTTGTACTTATAGCAAAGGAAGAGAAAAGTACTGAAGCAGTTGGAAATTGAAACTTTTCAACAGCAATAAATATAATAATGATCCTTGATTAAGTCTCTTTATGTTCTTAGTGTAGTCTACTTGCATGCCACATTATATTATAATCAGACTAAAACTGTATTTGGAGTAGCATTTTGAGAGTATTTAACAGAAATTTCTATTTTTAGTAACCATGGCAACACCATTCATTGAAGTGAAAAACTGATACACAGAATTATGTACCTTAGTGTAGTCTACTTGTGTGCCAAGTTATAAAGAAATCAGACCAAAACTGTAGGAGGAGTAGCATTTTTTAAGAATTTCACAGAAATTTCTATTTTTAGTAACAACAGCAACACCGTTCATTGAAATCAAAAACCAATACACAGAATTATGTTTCTTAGTGTAGTTTACTTGTGTGCCAAGTTACAATGAAATCAGACCAAAACTGTAGTAAGAGAAGCATTTTGAAAGAATTTCACAGAAATTTCTATTTTTAGGAACCACAACAACACCGTTCGTCGAAATCAAAAACCGATATACAAAATTATGTATCTTAGTGTAGACTACTTGTTTGCCAAGTAATATTTAAATCAGACCAAAACTGTAGGAGGAGTAGCATTTTGAAAGAATTTCATAGAAATTTCTATTTTTAGTAACCACGGGAACACTGTTCATCGAAATCAAAAACCGATAAACAGAATTATGTATCCTAGTGTAGACTACTTGTGTGCCAAGTTATACAAAATGTATTGAAATCAGACCAAAACTGTAGGAGGAGTAGCATTTTGAAAGAATTTCACAAAAATTTCTATTTTTAGTAACCACGGCAAAACCGTTCATCAAAATCAAAAACTGATACACAGAATTATGTATCTTAGTGTAGACTACTTGTTTGCCAAGTTATATTGAAATCAGACCAAAACTGTAGGAGGAGTAGCATTTTGAAAGAATTTCATAGAAATTTCTATTTTTAGTAACCACAACAACACCGTTCATCGAAATCAAAAACCAATATACAGAATTATGTATCTTAGTGTAGTCTACTTGTGTGCCAAGTTATATTGAAATCAGACTAAAACTGTAGGAGGAGTAGCATTTTGAAAGAATTTCACAAAAATTTCTATTTTTAGTAACCACGGCAACATCGTTCATCGAAATCAAAAACCGATACACAGAATTATGTATCTTAGTGTAGTCTACTTGTGTGCCAAGTTATATTGAAATCAGGCCAAAACTGTAGGAGGAGTAGCATTTTGAAAAATTGTTTACAGACGGACAGACAGACAGACAGACAGACGGACGGACGACGGACGCATTACTATCGCATAAGCTCTTCTGGTCTCTGACCAGTAGAGCTAAAAATGGATGTTTGACTGCAGTCTTAGATAATTGACCTTTGGAAGAGATATTGGACCTCTTATGTCACACTGCCACTGGGGGGAGGGATTAGCTACAAATCTCATTTACATTCAATGGTATGGAAGCCAGCAAAAGATACAATGTATACAATGTATATAGCAATATACCTTCCTTCATCACCTGCATACGGAGTACATTTATCTCAGTTGATTCGATACGCAAGAGTGTGCTCTACGTATGAACAATTTCTTAAACGAGGTAAATTATTGACAAGCAAGTTGATGAAACAAGAATATCAACAGTCTCGTTTAAAGTCATTATTTTGTAAATTCTATTGTCGATACAATGACCTTGTCAGCAAATACAATTTATCAATGAGTCAAATGCTGACTGACGTTTTTCATGTACCAATTGTTAGTCCATTATTTATACACTGAATTGACGACAGATTTTTTCCGTTATTTCCTAATCATGACAACGAGCACACAGTGGGTGTGACCGGTCGGCAGGGGATGCTCACTCCTCCATGGCACCTGATCCCACCTCTGATGTTTGCATTCGGCCTTGTGGCCTCAGGTATAAGACTGGTTCTTGGGTCAAAATAAATGCATGCTGCCCTTGCACTCTGAAATTACTTTCTCTTCAAAAATGTATATATTATTATTTCTCTAAACATCGTTTTTCTTTTCATATATGAAACATTGTACAAGTTGACTAATTGTTTCACTTCCGGTTAAATCGAAAGTAGAGATGTCGAAATATGGCGGGAACTTTTTTGTAAAAAACGTTAGTGTCATATGTTTTGACAACTTGAAAGCATGATAATTCTTAAACAAGGGACATTTTGATATGTAAAAAAAAATACTTGTTGTTTATTCTTCAAAACACTGAGTAATAGGTTATAAGGTTGGATTGTTTAAACGACAGAAAACCCTTTGCTCTACCTCGATGTCATTTTCCCCAAAATGAACCGGTGCCGAACCCTTTCCCAATAAGTATAAAAAAAATCGCTAGATGTGTGCGACATGCACTTACTTTTTAAGCAATGGAAAACGTCTAATCTGTTCCACCTGCCCGGGGCTCAGTATCCAGCTACTTTCATAAATATATTCAACAGGCACGTCCTCCAAAGATGAATAATTTAACTGCAAATCACAAGCCATAACAGAGTTCTCAACTTCTTGTTCTTCGTCCTCGGTCAAACAAACCAAACGCCATTCACCTAAAATAATTTGAAATATGTCTTCCTCTATCATGTCTATAAGTCGAACTCCTAGTTTGTCAACAAAACGGTTATCCCACTCTGAAGTGTACTTAGGAAATGTTGATTCGTTTGAACTTGGTGCATTTGAACTATCCGCACCAGAGTTTGATTCGCTGGACATTTTTACTTCAACATGTTCTAACTCAATACTGCAATCTGCATGAATGTTTTCTTTTTTTAATTTTTACGACGCAGGCTCACTAGACTGGTATTGCCTGTCTTTACCGTACGCAGGAAAAGACAGGTGATCACCGCCATTAAAGCCAGGGATTCCTGGCTTGAGTGACGCGCCATCTATCGCCGCTGCTCTACGATACAGCATGGGAAAGAATCACACAATAAAGCGATCTGCTGACTCAGTGGGTGAGCTTTAAACCGATTTATGTTTCCTGCGGTAATTAAATATGTCAATTCTAATAAACAAAAGTAGTTTGCAGAGTTGTTGCAGTTCTCTTTATCCAATTAATGTATGCCACGTAATGTGATAGGGGCTTGCTGATCTGTTACATTACGCCTGAAAATTTAGAATAAATTCAGCGAAGTGAAATGACTTGTACATGGTAGGCCTAGAATGAAATGTTTAACACTCCTGTGAAACAAAAATTTGAGAAAAAGGAATACTTGTCTTGTATGTGGAAATATTAGTGACCGTGTTTTAATAAGTTTAAGACATGACTGCATGGATGTTAGGATGCCGTCGTTTTTTTTTTTGCACTATTAATATTCCATCTATTGTTACAACCCTGTCTCCTTATTTTGCGGATTGTTCCTCTATGATGGAATTTCAGTGGTGAAACAATTACAATCTTTGTATCAAATATTTTGGGCAGCACCTCGTAAATCAAACTTTTTCCGTAGCCCGTCGGTGAAACAACACGGTATCGTAATTCAACGCACTTTTAATACTTCTGCCTTGCAAAGGCTTTAGAAAATTTAAAGTTGAATATCTTTCACAATTTATTTCTGCCAATGCAATTTTCCTACGCAAAGAAACCTCGAGGTAACGATCGATAATCATTCGTAATACATGTATAGCACTCCATGATCTGTTTTGGTTTCCCCAAGGTATTTAAATTCTACGTCAGCGAGAGTTTTTATCAGCCAATAAGCGCGGCCGGTAGAGGGCTCTTTACATTACTGATCACCTGTCTGTATATCGGATATCAGACAGGCAGGCCAGTCTACAGGCTCACTTGAAAAGTGTTCGAGTCTATTCGGCTACGGTTGGTTTCGGCCCGATCACATTGGACTCATATTGCCTAATATTGATTGATTGCTTGTTTGTCATTCTCTTTTAAGAATTTTTTCACTAATATAGAGACCTATTCTCGGCATGGGCATTGATCACTGAATCTATTCTAATCTATAAGAGATCTTTTTTATTAAATTCGGGAATTAAAATTGAAACCTCCTCCCCCCGCAAAAAAAAAAGAAATATTTTAAATTATTTTGTCAGTTTCGTTTTATGTACTGATCCATGTATTAAAATTTTGAATTAGATAAAATTTGGTTCAGTTTGGTTCTCGAGCAAAATCAATTCCAATCTTTCATGCTATAAATAAATGTACACATACAGTACAGCTCACGAGTTTTTGCCACCCCACGGTGGAAAATACACGGTGTAAAATACTTCGTGTTACACCGTGTACACGGTGTTCCACGGTGTGCGTATATTGCGATTATTCCAGAAACGCACCGTGTAACACCGTGGACATTACCGTTTCCTTGGGGGACCCTCCGTGTTCCACCGTGCGAGAAAATTACGGAAGAAAATAGTTTGTTTATAAAAATCATTTCAGTTTTAGAATTTTGAAATTATAAATAATGATTATTTGAAAGCTAGAAAAAAAAAATCGAAAATGAAGATTGACTTAATACAAAGAGCTCGTTAACAAACATGCGAGTTCATAATATAACAGCTTCGAGGTGTAAACGTTGGTTCGCCATTGACGGTATGATTGCCAAGTATATTGAATAAATTTAAATTTTATTTTTGTTGAATTCATATTTCATATTTATTTGAAAACAAGAGCAATTATATATATCTATTGTGCAAATTATTATGTTTCCAATATAAGCGATAAATATTCGCATGTACAAATCCAAGTACATTGCCGTTTAACTTAATATTCAGTGCGAAACATAGACAGGGTTCGATAATTTTAGCGATTATTTTCTCTGTAAAATAATTGTTATAAAAGGATATTCACAAATATTAAATATGTCAGATAGCTAATTCAACATTATCTGATTCCTACATCGTAAATAAAAACAGTCAGTATATTATGAAATTCAGATTAATGAGATTATGAATATACACTTATTTTGCAGAAATAATTATATTATAAATAGTGTAGACCACATATCAATGAAGATACTAGTAAGTTGCTACATGCGAGAAAAAGTGCATGCAAGAAAAAAAAACCCTAGTGTTCACGATAATTTCTTATACGTAGTTTGATGGTTGACTATAGTTGTATACATTCACAAAAAAATCTGGCAGTTGTATGTACTAATTGATTTAACCTGAAATTTTGAGCCATAGAAAAATTGAATTTCTTTCGAATATGTGGAAGTATTTCAACCTGAATATCGGGTATTCTTTTTCTTGTTTATAAATCGTCTGCGATCAGTACGAAAACTTAAAAAAAAAAACAGACGAGTAAAAATAAATTTCTTGAACTGCTAAAGCAGCATTCTAAAAATTCCTCTACAAATCATACATAATTTATTTTTTTCATAATAATTAAACTGATTTTAATTCACTTCTAAATTTTACAATGTTCAGAGAGAGAATAGAGAGAGAGAGAGAGAGAGAGAGAGAGAGAGAAATTTAATAAATTTCATGTTTATCTATCCTTTTTTTTCACATTCTCATAAACATAATATTTGTACCTCTAATTTTTTCTTCTTCTAGAAATCAAATTTCTCGGATATCAATGAATTGCAGATTCTCGTGTAAATTAGTGTACAGAGTCACTTCTTGGTCAAAAATGCAATTTTCTCGTAACAGCAAACATTATTTTCATAGACTAGTGTTTACTATTTTATGTTAGTGTAAGTAATTACTTCAAAAAGATTATTATTTACTTTAATCAATTTTTTTTCTTGTAAAATTGTGTAAAAAGCGAGTGAGCGAGAGAGAGAGAGAGGGAGAGAGAGAACCCCTTCCTACATAGTCTGTTATTTTTTTTCTTCGTTTTATTTAGGTTGCGGATGTCTCATTAATCATTCTATAATTCTATTTAATTTCCAGAACTTTGGTTCATATTAAACCCATTTAATACAATGAATCATGTATATGCTGTACGAACGAGATTCTTGTGCATCACCTCATTCACCTGTCAATCAAAATCCCATGACGCTAGGTGACCTTGAAAGTCTGTTTACGCAGTAAGAATTTCACTCGTGATTTGAAACAATCTTATGGTCAGTTCCGAGTTCACACCTGTTTGAAAAATATATTGGGTCTCTGCCGGTGGGCCAGGGGCGCCGTATGTTTATCACACCTTTCACATTCTTTAGCTCTGATCACAGCAAGTGTATAACACACTCAACTGATATCAAACGAAATTCATCTTCCAGGTTTCACTACAACAATGAATATAAACTTACATGTATTTTGTTAATTTATTTATCCTTTTTCAGACACAAATAAGCATGTACTAAGATTTTTATAAACTTAAACATAAATTTGATGACTATTGATAAAGTTTTAATTAGCCGATTCGTATCACTTTCTAGAAGGGGGGGGGGGGGGTTACGAAACCATTTCTTAAATCGCTAAATATCTAATAGATGTTTTCGCCGCAAACTGTTTTTTTTTTCTTTTCATTTTTCATACGATAAACATTACTGAATGAAGAAATAATTGTACTGAAGTTAAATTTTATTTGCCAAAAATTCTGCTGGTGATTTTTGTATTCAGCGTGCAAGTTGATCTCTTCCTAAATTAATAAAATTTATCGGATTATCATCTCTGCCTGTTCAGAAGATTTTGCCGCATTTAATATTATTTCCATATTTTACATTTATTATAGGTTTTCAGTGTTTATAACTGCAACAATCCTTATCTTAACCAATGATTTGCCGAGAAATAATCACTTCAAAGAATTTGATAGACTTTGATTTCGGTAAAGGATAGCTATGGACATGGAAACTGCGCAAATTTAAGATATTTTCCGTCACTTTTGATGAAAAATTAATTTTTTTAAAGTAATCATACCTTATTTACCTAACACTTTCTGTAGTTTAGTTTACATGTAAATATATCAATCATTAAGTGACAAATTGTATTTTCAAAACATGTGTAGAGTCATGTAAATTATACGAATTAATGCTTTCTTAAAAAGAACATTTTAATCTTGTATAAATGAGTACATGTACGAAGCAGTAGTAACACACACATTATTAAAATTATATAAATTTTTGAAAAGGGAGGTTGGAGGGTTTTTCAAAGAGGGGATTGAAGGGGAAATACGAACCGTTGTAATTATAACGAACGTTTTACACATACATGTAATTAAACAACTCGATAGGATGTAGGATGAATTATGGTTTTCAAACGTGGGAGGTTGATCAACCTCGGAAAAAGTATTAAGTTTGTATGGAAGTTTTTGAAAGAGAATTTCAAATTTCTTCATATACTTCAACATTAGACTTCCAGTTAACATATCTATATTTCTATAGTAAAAACACAATAAAAATGGAACTTTCTTCTTTCTGTGTCTTTCTTTCTTTTTTGGCAAATCCAAGAGTGGGGGGTGCTGGTGTACCCCCTCTGAATCCGCCACTGGTATCCGAGAGAGATAGAAAGAGAGAGAGAGATTAAAAGGGGGCTGTATGTTTCATACTTTTAATAACCCCACAGGTAATTTAAGATGAATTATAATTTTCCGTCTGTTTTGTTACATAATTAAAGAATTTTCGTTATTATCTACATTGTATATAAATGTGTACACTTATGTATAGAACAGGTACATGTATATAGAATTCAAAGTGAATGTGTGACACAGGGATTTTAAAAGAACTGAGCCATGCAAATTTATAATAAAAAAAATCCCTAGGAGAAATGTACATGTAATAGTGAAAACGGGGGAGGGGTCAACATTAATATGTGGGTTACGTGACTTACGTCTGGACCACGCACGTGTGTATACAGGTGTGTCATTTTGTGTTCAATCACCTACGGGTGTAACTAATACAGGGTTCAGGTCAAAGAGGTTATACGCTACCGACGTATTAAGACGACGGAACTCTTCCGACATTATTATAGAATAAGTATAAATAACAAAGAAGTATAAACACATTAGAATGATGTATTATCCATTACTATACTATCTTAATAAATTAAAACAATAAACTATTGTGATATTACTTTTAATCATTCAATACCAACAATGTACTTTCTTTGAACATGTCTTCCAAAAACGTGCATTGGACATTGGTATATTACTTTAATTATATATATAGACCTGCTTTGAGTGATTTGTTTGATAGATTTTAAGTAGAATTGGAAGAAATGCACCGTTTTACATCGTGCTGACACACCGACTCGCACCGTGGATAAACTCCGTGTCGCACCGTGGACGAACATTGCAGCACTTTCTAGGCACCGTGTCGCACCGTGGAAAACATTATTGCAATTTTTATGCACCGTGTCACACCGTGGATCGGAGACCGAACTTCAAAGACGCCGACGTTTCTAAAGTTCCACGGAAAAGCGTGGAACATTGGTCCACCGTGGCCGGTGGAATCCGGCAGAAACTCGTGAGCTGTACTGTACACGTATCATGCATCTATGCATCAAATATTTTAACAGGTGGTTTTTTTTGGGATGTTTACGATTTAGTTTTGTGTGATACAAATACATCAAGGACTATCCAAACAATGGAATGTCAAAGTTTAAACAGACGAACTGGCCTTGATCAAATTGAAAATCCAGCTTGTGAAAACTCAAATCGTCGGTCTTTTTTCTCAGTTAAAGAATATACAAATGAATTCTGTCAGCTGTGCCGTGCATAGTCTTGTACATGGGAAGTGCTTGATAAAGTAGTGCTATGTAACAAACCACGGGGAACCCATCACATGGTCTACAAGGGGGCGTGTTTAACTTTACCACATATACCACAACGCGATCTCATTCATCCTTTCATGACCATTTTTTGTTCTTGAACTGAATGGGGGAATATCAGGAATCGTATGTACTTCGTTCTTCGAGAGGCTGTATTCCTGTTAGAGGGAAGAGAATAACAAAGAAAATGGATCTCATGAGATATTTATTTGTTCCTACGATGACGCTTGGAGCTTCTTCATTCCAACAAAAATACAAGGCAAATATTTCAGGCACTTATCAGTCATCTTTAGTAGGGATGTTTACGAATTTTTAGTCGCCCGCGTGGCGCAGTTGTGCAATTGTCATGTTGTAAATTTTGAATTTACCCGGTAAATTCAACATGACAACTAGTTGTCATGTTGTAAATTTTGTATTTACTGCCACCCGGTAAATTCAAAAGTTGTCATGTTGTAATGACAAATTCCTGAAATGTTCTAATTTCCCACTTGAACAGCGAGAGAACGCTGAAAAAATGCAAAGCGAATGATGAAAGAACGATGCTTGAAAGATGAACGTAAATGGTTGAGCGAACGCAAAAGCGAAAAAGAGCGCAAAGAGAACGGTAAGCGAACATTGAACGCCAAATGAAGTACATGTATTTCTTTGGAGTGCCTTTGATCGCGCATACCATTGCAACTTTTTAAATGTTTTCTAATGTCAAAAGTCAAAATAAAACTAGAGGTACTGTGAGCGATGAGCTCACTAAATGATACCCCCCGCCTCCCATATGGTTATAACTGGTGAAAAAGTTCATGTTTTCCTGTGGCCGGGACACCCAAAATATGTGTCGGATCAAAAAGTAAAATAGGAGGTGCACAATGGCAATATGTAATAAAGATTCTGTGAAAGTTGCATCAAATTTCATTCAGTGGTATGAGAGGAGTTGCGGATAAGAGATGGGTACCCCAAAGCGTAACAGACGGACGGACGGACAGACGGAAGGACGGACGGACAGACGGACGGACGGACAGACGTACAGACGGACGGAATTAACGATTACTATATACCCTCCCGCTTTTCAAGCGGGGGGTATAATAAATTAACAAATGAAAAAAATTTAAGAAACTGTTCCAAAATTGTTCGAAGAAAGACAATATATGCACATAAAGTAAGACTTATTTTAGGTTTCTTATAACATTTTCTGCATAGTTGTGTAATGTTTAATTATACCCCCCGCTTGAAAAGCGGGAGGGTATATAGTAATCGTTAATTCCGTCCGTCTGTACGTCTGTCCGTCCGTCCGTCTGTCTGTCCGTCCGTCCGTCCGTCCGTCTGTTACGCTTTGGGGTACCCATCTCTTATCCGCAACTCCTCTCATACCACTGAATGAAATTTGATGCAACTTTCACAGAATCTTTATTACATATTACCATTGTGCACCTCCTATTTTACTTTTTGTTCCGACACATATTTTGGGTTTCCCGGCCAGAGGAAAACATGGACTTTTTCACCAGTTATAACCATATGGGAGGCGGGGGGTATCATTTAGTGAGCTCATCGCTCACAGTACCTCTAGTTTCAATTTGTAATCATACTTATTATTTTCAACATTGTACATGTAATTGTTTCCAAACATTGTGTTATAACCGAAAAAAAAATATTGGGTGTAGAACAGAATATGTTTATTATACCCCCCGCTTGAAAAGCGGGAGGGTATATAGTAATCGGTATTTCCGTCCGTCTGTACGTCTGTCCGTCCGTCCGTCCGTCTGTCCGTCCGTCCGTCCTTCCGTCTGTCCGTCCGTCCGTCTGTTACGCTTTGGGGTACCCATCTCTTATCCGCAACTCCTCTCATACCGCTGAATGAAATTTGATGCAACTTTCACAGAATCTTTATTACATATTGCCATTGTGCACCTCCTATTTTACTTTTTGATCCGACACATATTTTGGGTTTCCCGGCCACAGGAAAACACAGACTTTTTCACCAGTTATAACCATATGGGAGGCGGGGGGTATCATTTAGTGAGCTCATCGCTCACAGTACCTCTAGTTGTTATTATACCCCCGCTTGAAAAGCGGGAGGGTATATATAGTAATCGTTAATTCCGTCCGTCCGTCCGTCCGTCTGTTACGCTTTGGGGTACCTATCTCTTATCCGCAACTCCTCTCATACCGCTGAATGAAATTTGATGAAAATTTCACAGAATGTTTATTACATATTCCCATTATGTACCTCCTATTTTACTTTTTGATCCGACACATATTTTGGGTTTCACGGCCACAGCAAAACATGGACTTTGCCATAAATCTATATGGAGGCGGGGGTATCATTTAGTGAGCTCATCGCTCACAGTACCTCTAGTTTGTTATATGAATTCGTTAAAACTAAGGTGGGTTCTAGAAGAGAAAACAACTTACTTTTAGAATGAAATAGAACTAATGGTTCTTAGAACTATACCCATATTTCCGTGCCTTGCCCATTCCGTTTAATAAGAAAAGAAATCTAATAAAATAGTTTATTATACATCCCGCTTTTCATTTCGTCTATTTTGACAGGAAAAAATACGAATCATTGTCAATGACTCCAATGAAGTATTTTATCTTGGAGAATACGTTATAGATTATAGCGGTTCAATTCGAGTATGCTCTAACATTCAATTTGTCACTCCAGTTGCAAAAAGTATTTCTGAGATATTAGATATCTTGACAAATATTCTCAACGCCATAAGCATTCTGTGTATAATCCTCCTATTGGTCATTTATCTAAAAGTCCCTGCTTTGCATACGGTTCCTGGATTAAATGTAATGAGTACATCGTTTTCTCTTATGTGTATGCAGATAATGTACACCTTAGCAAACGTTTTAGAGAAAGGAACCCTGTTCTGTCAGATCTCTGGAAATTTATTACATTACTTTTGGTTGAGTTTATGCTGCTGTTTATTTATTACATTACTTTTGGCTGAGTTTATGCTGCCGTTTATTTATTACATTACTTTTGGTTGAGTTTATGCTGCTGTTTATTTATAACATTACTTTTGGTTGAGTTTATGCTGTTGTTTATTTATTACATTACTTTTGGTTGAGTTTATGCTGTTGTTTACTTATTACATTACTTTTGGTTGAGTTTATGCTGTTGTTTACTTATTACATTACTTTTGGTTGAGTTTATGCTGTTGTTAACTTATTACATTACTTTTGGTTGAGTTTATGCTGTTGTTTATTTATTACATTACTTTTGGCTGAGTTTATGCTGTTGTTTATTTATTACATTACTTTTGGCTGAGTTTATGCTGTTGTTTATTTATTACATTACTTTTGGTTGAGTTTATGCTGTTGTTTATTTATTTGCTGCTTACACATGTTCTTAAGTTTTAGAGGCATCAGAATTAGGAATACAGAAAACAGTAGGCGAGTAATTATAAGAAAGGAGTATGTCAAATATATTTTGTTCTGCTATATGCTTCCAGTGACCATAATATCCCTTAACGTAATTTTGTCCTATGTCATAAATTGCAGCATTGGTTATGGTAAGAGAATATGTTTCGTTGAAAACTTCGTTCAAAACATCGTTACATTTATAGTTCCTCTTCTTCTAACATGTGTTTCTAACCTCTTCTTGTTTGTTCTGATCATTATCAATATAGATGTTGACAAAAATATTCAAAAGTCTAAAGACAACAAGTCGGAACTGGTTATTTTTATCAAGCTCTTTTGTCTGACGGGATCGGTCTGGATATTACAGGTCATAGATAGCTTCCTGGAATTGTCGCTTTTTCTCGCTTGTTGTTACCCTGCTGACTTCTTCACAAGGTATATTCATTTTCCTCATTTTTTCTTCCTCTTCACATATAAGAAATATGCTCAAATGTAAGTAAAAGGTACAGGCAGAAAGGCATAAAACTTCGAATAAAGTTATCACAAAACTGAGCATTCCATGTGAGATATCGATCCCGATGTCAAGGGAAGATTCTTTTCTGGTTTCTGACCAATGAAATATTTGCTTATGTGTCTTAAATATTTAGGTGTAAGAGATGAAAAAGACCATATTCTCCTCTTCTCATCAAATTTTACAACTTTAAATAAAAATAGTAAACATCGTTTTAAAACTAGCAGAGACTATAATTTGGGGGAAAGGTGGTGTATGAAAATATCTTTTTTTTTCTGCCTCTCAAAACTATTATAAAGCAATGCATTTAGTTAAAATCAAAGTTTTAAAGAAAGAAGATGGGGGAACAAGGCGGGCAGAATGCCTATAGCGTCGGATATTAATAAATTACATTCAATATGTGAATTGAGTATTTAAACTAACTAATTTATGAGGTAAAAGACTTTTCAATAAAAATCCGTATGACCAGCATACTACTTTGAGACTAAAGCGCTAACCATTATGCTCATGATGATTATTAGCATTTAAATCATGTTTGTGATATGTCCCTTGACTTAATGGACTTAAAGTATTTCTCTGAAGGATGCCAATGATTTGTCATAAAAGTTTTCTTTTAAGAAAGATATGGAGATAACGAACAATATTCAATATTCATGAATATCAAGTCCATAAAACAATACAAAATAGGTGCAGAGTAAACACGGACCCCCAAAACATCAGAGGTGGGATCAGGTATAGTGGGTCTTCGCTCCGTGTTCTTGTAAACCACAAAAAGTATATTTTATTGCAAAGTTAAAGGTATAATTGGTCTTCCCCCCAATTTTTTAAACCATAAAAAGTATATTTTATTGCAAACTTTTAGGATTATCTATCAAAAAAATGGAGCGAGATCCACTCATATTGAAAAAGTTTGTTATAGTATGAGAGAATGATCGTTTTGTTCTTTTTAGTGTGTGTATGCTTTATTATAGGCAAATATTTTCAGTCTTTGTGAGACTTCTGTAAATTGTTGAGATTTTACATTAAGTATACTTTAATATTAGATGAAATATCAAATAAAATTTCGATATAATGAAGATTAAATTCCACTTCTTATCTGTCGGTCTGTAGAGACCTCTTGCACTTTATCTTCTATCTTCTTTTATAAATGTAAGTTTAATTAATGATAATGGACTGAAGGTCCTAGAAATATAAGATAAATATGATTTTTCTAACAAACTAGAATTAAATTAACTTTTATAAGATTCCAATCTTACTACAGATTTGAGCCAAAAATCTGTATTTTTTTTTGTTCTTCTCTCCTATAGGTAGTTAAAGATATTTTCTTTGTATCATTTTATAATTGTGACAAGTATATATGAAAATATATACATGAAAATGAGAAAAAATAAATATTTGAAGCATGAAAAATAACTAATATATCCTACACATTAGGAAAAGAAGAGAAAATTTGAATTAGCCAGTATCCATTTTAGTTAAATTATATATGTCATTTTGTTAATACCACCTTATAGGCCCTTTATGATATTATCCTTTTAAGCAAAAAGAGAGAAAAAAATCTTTCGAAATACAAGCAGGTATTGCATAATAAGCTACATATTTATTATTATTATTATTATTATTAATGTCCAGAAAAAAGGTAATAATATTGACCTGACCTTGTCTACGATATAAAACGGTCAAATTTAACATACCATCACTTAGTGATATAGTCTTCCTGATTTTATGAAAATTTCACAAATTTTCAAATACAAGAAATGTAAAAAGAACCTTACCTTAATTATAACTTTAGTTTAATTAAGACATCGAGGTCAATGTTAAATATAAATTCAGTTCAATTAAGACATCGATATCCTTGTTAATTATAACCTTAGTTTGATTCCATCTTTCAAGTAAATCTGCCTTTCTCAATACTATGAATTCACTTAATACATGTCTTTGTCATTGACTGGATACGCGATGTTCGCTTCAACTAATTGAAAAACAATGCATGTGCAATACGAACATTTTTCAATTTCCTTGTATGACATTTGTTTAATACTTGTGCAAGTAGAGTTCATTTGAAGTTTATTAAAAAAAAACGTACCAAAATATTTGAGCCCACTCTTAAAACGGATCTCGCACACGTGAATTTTTGTGATGTTTATAAATTTTTGACAGTTTTTCAATTTTTTTTCAATTCCTTTTTTTTTCATTGTTTTACCCTTTGATATTATATCTTTTTTTTCATATATTGTAGAGGATCCAACTAGCTATTCTCAAGAAAATGCTGTTTTAGTTTTTCTTTTGTCTATTTTTGTAAATTTTAATAAAAAAATTATGTTGATTTTATTTTTAACCTTCTTGGTTATTATTTCAATATTTTATAACACTAAACTTTGAAGAGAAATTAAAAGCAATGGGTATTAAAAAAATTGATAGGAGCGATTTTAACAAAATAAATAAAATATTTCAAATATTTCTAAAAAATGAATTGAAATACTTTGGAACCTTATTTAAACGGATATGGGGCCTATTATTAGAAACAAATGCATGCAACAAAAATCAGTTACACTTTACAGGTGTAGAGATCCCTCTTAATTTAAAAGTACCCCGGGATACATAGACTGGTCAAAAAAGTCAATTAATTTACCTTATATCATTTTCCATTTCCCTGTTTCTCAAATTAATATTTTTTTCGACATATTTACAGAGAGGTTTTGTAGAATTTAAAGTATTATGTTAAATTTTAATCATTTTATATCTATTCAGCAAATGGGCGCGGCTATCATAAAAAAGTTACGTGTACCTCTTCTTCATTTTTATAGAATCTTTAATTATTTTGCACTCGATGATACGTTTGGGATAAACCAAAAAATTATATATAACTCTACGTCACCTAAATATATCAACAGCCAATGACTACCTCTTGACAGTATCGCACAAAAAAGAAGAACAAAGAACAAGACACGCCTCTAAAATTTGGGCCTATTTTTCATCGTTTAAATATAAAGCATATCAGTGATATAATATATTTGAAAAAAATATTTTCTAATGATAAGCATGTTAAATATCTCCAAAAAATACACGCATTAATTTTAGCCAGTCGAATGAAGTCTATTTTTATCTCCTCGTCCTTTTGATGTCACATTCAAGTGCATTTCCCATAAAGAAACTCGACAAAGACTAAACTCTTGTAGCAATACTTCATAATCACAGTAAGTGTAACGTATTGTCAGGTACAACAAAGGTATGGAATATTGTTGTTATTACTTAGAATCTCGCTCATAGTGTACAATTATATAATATCCTTAAAATATTTCTACTTTCGTTTTGAGATATAGTAAACAAAATTGAAATCATGATACTGTTACTTATAAAATATTCACTTTGTATTAGAGATTACCTTTTGGAATCGACTCTATCTTCCTGTACTGTCTAGATTTATTTCTTTCGAATACAACCTGCAAAAAGAAACTCATAATCAACGAATTCTGACAAGGAATTCAGATTTGAATTTTCTGGCCATATTTACATATCTAGAATAGTCAGTTATACATATCATATACAAAATATGTTGAGCATTGTGTTTTCATTTACTTCACGAGCAGACATTTAGATAAAAATCACACAATTAAAAACATACGCGATGTATCCTGGCGTATTGTATTTTCGACCTATTTAGATATAATTTATTAATTTATTGCAAACTTAATAGAAACTGAAAAACTATGGGCTTAAAATGTTAGCATATGTGTCTATGAATAAAATTATACAACCCAAATTGCAGTTTTGTGTTTATTTTATTTATATGCCATTATATGGGGAGGGTGCTTTTTTACCTACAAAAATATTAGCGTCTTATGTTTTCGACCTAAATATAGTATCAATGACCAAACAGTAATACAATTGTCTGTCTTTCAAAAAAATCATTGAACAAGTTCGATATTTCAGTTGCAAATACATTTATCAGTTGGTTGAACCCATTTGTCAGGAGCTGTGCATTTCCAAAAGAAATCAATGAAATTACGTTGCATTTTCAGTAAAAATCTGTAAGAAAGTGCCCATTTCTAAGGGAGAAAAAAATTCGTTTGATCCACCCATTCATTTCAATATTCATGAGTCTCTTTGACAGAGATCTGAATTTTCTTTCGGGAAAATGTCATCAAAAAATCTTTGTAATTAACCGATTACGGCTTTGATTAATCAACAGATAAAATGTGCATTAGTAAAAAGACTATAATTTCTGACATCGGCCTAAAACCACGGATGGAATTCCGTTGAATTAATTATTTTAGGTATTTTCACTACAGTTGCGCTTGAAAGGTATTTTTCAAAGTGTAGCAACCGAAAATAATGTTCTACCGCGCGGAATCTGCACGGAAAACAGATTGAGAAAAGTAGGTCGAAAATACAATATGGTCGAAAATAGGATACGAGACGATACCTTATCGTCTGATAGATTTGCAAGATATTCCATTTTTAAACTTAATAAAATATAATTACTTGTTCATAGACACAAAATCAGGATGCCTTACCAGACGTTTTGAAAAGATATCGAATTTTGAAAATTTTTGCACTATTCAAATAAAAATGTACAAAATTTATAAACATAAATTTAAGATTTTTTTCTTCAAAAATTGTTTTAAAAGAGGTGTACAAATCCATTTATAGACATTAAAAACACTGCACATAGGTCCTTCATTTAGTGGAACTCTTCAACTTCAGGGGAGATCTCAAAAGAGTTCAAACTACGTTGCGTATGACCTTAAGACCATCAATAATTAATCTTTTTCGGAACAGTGTACACGATTCCATGAAGTTTTTCAGATTAATCGCTCTTTGCTACAAAGATGCATTGTCTGTTGCTAAAAATAAAAAATAAATTGTAGGCTATACTTTATATTTTTAAATAAATATTACAACACAGCCAGGGTTATAATATTTAATCAAAATAATAAAAAATAATTTTCCTACTGTATGTAAAAATGATTTTTTTTTTTGGTTTCAATAGTATTTGAAATATTTTTTTAAAAGTAATTGATTTTCTTGTTCACTCGTAAATACATTGTTTGCTGGCCATTAAGTCAATGTTTGTTAATTAATGTGATCAAACATTCGTTTTTCTTTGATACCTATTGATCCATATGTATCTTCATATTTGATACTTTCAGCCAAAAGCTGTCTTTGAAATGTGTATCAACTAGTCATCCTTATCAAATGTCATGGCAGAAAAAAGGCCTCCTAATTTTGTTGGTCCTGATCTCCCTGTGAGTATAATTAACTGGACGTGTTGTCATATGTCTAATCTGTCTCATGTATGATTTCAATCTGTTTTGTTTTAATTTTTTGCTCAAATACAACAAGGGTTATAAACTACACTTCCTTCTAAAATTCCATAGTAAAGATCTGATCATTAAAATAACTTTTTAAAACGACTTTCTGAGGTACTCTACCGTGCCATAGTGTTACTATGATATAATTATTCAGTAACGTATGATGAAAAGATTTCTTATGGAGTTTTTACATGGAAATTTGACTAAGGTAAATAAATGTCTTATTTGTATTATTTACCATGATGAAAATTCGCTGTTTTTCCATTTTTTTTCTAGAATTGTGATGAAAATATTTATTTAATCTCTTTCAACATTGGTTTTTAAAATTAACGTATGATGCAACGATTTCCATCATCAGTAACGTGCGATGTAATTATACTTTAACAATCGTTTTATTAGACCAATATGTTGGATTTCTTTTCTTGGAAATGTTTAAAAGTAGGGTAATAAAATTACTCATTGCTTTCTTTTGATCACAGAATACCAAATGGTTAAGAAAAAAGCAAAACTTGACTAGAACGGCTAAAAAAAATTCCATGTAAAAATTCCATAAGGAATCGTTTCATCATACCTTATGGAATAATTGCATCATAGTAACGCTATGACACGGTGGATTCTCTTGGCAAGATTTATTTCGCCAGAGAGAGCTTTGCCACAAAAGTATCCACACTATTTGTGGCCTTTTTGTGCTATATAGTACCGATTAAATATGTGCAGCATTCTGGGTTTATTTCAAGAAAATATTAATTAAGATTAATATCAACACACCTTTTTAGCTCACCTGAGCCGAAGGCTCAAGTGAGCTTTTCTGATCACATTTTGTCCGTCGTCCGTCGTCCGTCTGTCTTTCTGTCTGTCTGTCTGTAAACTTTTAACATTTTCGACTTCTTCTCAAGAACCACTGGGCCAATTTCAACCAAACTTGTCACAAAGTATCCTTGGGTAAAGGGAATTTAAGTTTGTTCAAATGAAGGGCCACGCCCTTATTCAAGGGGAGATAATTTGGGATTAATGAAAATTTAGTGGTATATTTTAAAAATCTTCTTCTCAAGAACCACTGTGCCTGGAAAGATGAAATTATGGGGAAACATCCTCAGGTAGTGTAGATTCAAGTTTGTTCAAATCATGACCCCCGGGGGTAGGGCGGGGCCAAAATGGCCGACCAAAGTTTTACATAGAAATATGTAGGAAAATTCTTTAAAAATCTTCTTCTCAAGAATGACAAAGCCATAATTCATCATATTTATATATGGAAGCATGTTCAGGTAGTGTAGATTCAATTTTATACAAATCATGACCCCCGGGGGTAGGGTGGGGCCAAAATGGCCGACCAAAGTTTTACATAGAAATATATAGGAAAATTCTTTAAAAATCTTCTTCTCAGGAATGACAAAGCCATAATTCATCATATTTATATGGAAGCATCGTCAGGTAGTGTAGATTCATGTTTGTTCAAATTATGACCCCCGGGGGTAGGGCGGGGCCACAATGGCCGACCAAAGTTTTACATAGAAATATGTAGGAAAATTCTTTAAAAATCTTCTTCTCAAGAATAACAAAGCCATAATTCATCATATATATATATAAGCATGCTCAGGTAGTGTAGATTCAAGTTTGTTCAAATCATGACCCCCGGGGGTAGGGCGGGGCCAAAATGGCCGACCAAAGTTTTACATAAAAATATATAGGAAAATTCTTTTAAAATCTTCTTCTCAAGATGACAAAGCCATAATTCATCATATTTATGTGGAAGGATGCTCAGGTAGTGTAGATTCAAGTTTGTTCAAATCATGACCCCCGGGGGAAGGGCGGGGCCAAAATGGCCGACCAAAGTTTTACATAGAGATATATAGGAAAATTCTTTAAAAATCTTCTTCTCAAGAATGACAAAGCCATTATTCATCATATTTACATGGAAGCATGTTCAGGTAGTTTAGATTCAAGTAGATTCAAATCATAATCCCTTGGGTTAGGGCGGGGCCAAAATGGCCGATTAAAGTTTTACATAAAAATATATAGGAAAATTCTTCTCAATCATTTTCTAAAAAATAACAAATCCATGATTGGTCATGGGACTACTTTTGGATTTAAACTTTACAATAAAAAGCCATTTTATACTAGTCCTACCCTTGGTACTCAGGTGAGCGATGTGGCCCATGGGCCTCTTGATATCTACTACATTGAAAACTGTTTAATCCGACACCTTTGAATAATCTGACACACGGACGTTAATTTTTCCATTTTATCTTTTTCCGTGTTTTAACACTATTCAATCTGACACCCTGTCTATTTCGACACAAAATTTGTCTCCAAGTGCATGTCCAATCAGACAGGTTTCACCGTATATGTTCTGCATCTCTGAGATCTTTTCCCCGTCGTTGCACAAGAGTTTTTAAACTAAAGTTCAGTTTGTTCTAAATTACATAGTACATAAAAATGTTAAAGTACTAAAATCATGTTCTCTTACGACTTGATGAGATTTCAAATCTAACTGTTTTGACAGAGTTTTTCGGCAAGAAGTAATCTTTCACTAACTGTGACTTTATACGCCTAGTGCAGGTTGACATTTGATGGCTCAATCTATATTTAGTAACACCCTGCTACACTGCATAATACATAAGCATACAAGTCAAATATTGCCAAAACAAATACTTAAGAAAAAAAAAATTCTGTTCATTTTTCGAAAACTATCAGTACTTACTTCTCTCCTTAGTATAAACCTGATGTACTTAATGTTTTGAGACAAGAATTAAAGGTATGCATGCTGACTGACGTTTTTCATACCAATTGTTAGTCCATTATTTATACACTGAATTGACCACGGATGTTTTCCGTTATTTCCTGATTATGACAAAAAGCACACGGCGGGTGTGACCGGTCGGCAGGGGATGCTCACTCCTCCATGGCACCTGATACTACCTCTGATGTTTCGGAGGTCCGTGTTTGTTCTGCTCTTATTTTGTATACTTGTTTAATGGACGTTGAGATTGAATAATATTCGTGATTTCCATATCCTTCCATACAAGCACTTTAATTAACCAACGACACAAACAATAAAAATTGTCTTTCCATATCCTTTTATTTTTTGTAAAATTTTGTCCATGATACGTCCTACATAGTATGAAAAAAATAAATAGAATAAAAATGACTAAGTATTATTTTCATGAAGCATACCTTTCTACTACCAATTTAAAGCCTTCCTTTTTTAAAGAAAAAGTTAAACATGTTGTAGATGTTATAGATTATTGACAATACCTTGGTGAACAAGATCAACAGTTAAGTTTAAAGTCATAATTTTGTACGTTTTATGGTCAATACATTGATCTTGTCAGCAAATATATATTATCGGAGTTTTATGAAGAGACTTACTTTTACAGTTGACGACTGACTTTTACAATTTAACCACATACAAACTCCATATACTAAAATGTAAAAGTCAGCTGTCGAATGTAAAAGTAAGTCTCTTCATAAAACTCCAATATTAGGTCCAATGCTGGCTCACGTATTTCAGAGTAATTCTTAGATCATTATATAAACACTTAATTGTCAATGGATTTTCAATAAGTTTCCGATAATGAGAAGGAGCACACGGCGGGTTTTACCAAAGTGCACCATGGTGTACATGTACCTTGTACCATAGTTTGGTGTGATATCTTTTGTTAAAAGTGTGGGTTTTCTGCACAAAACCCACACTTTTCTGTAACTCTGTCCATCGAGTCGGGACAAAAGAATTATTTATAAAATGATCATGCACGGTTTTTTAATCAAACAATCATACGGAGTAAAAATCTTCAATTGTATACAGCATTTTTTAATAAATAACAGTAAAAACCATCATTTATACTTTAACTTTAGTTAAAAGTGAAAAAAAATTTCAGATATCGCTTGATTTTTATAACATTTTTTTAAATAGTGCTATGACCAGGGTGACGTTAGCTAAGTAGATTCCAATATATCGTTCTTTTGAAAACCAAAAAAGGAAACACGGTGCATACTTTACGTGAAAACAAGTGTATGCTACTGGACTTAAATAACCTTAAGTTTTCGATTGCGGATCTAGCCGGTCAAAATTAGATCTTATATTCATTAAATTGAAATAAACTTATTACCCCTCACAAACATTTCACATAAACGTATCACGGAACACGGCAAAATTTGTATTAAATTTCCAAAAAATTAAATTAAACCAAGTTCAAAATAAATCTAAATTACTAGTATGTAATTTTGACGATTGTTATTTACGAGAAAAAAAAAATCATTTCAAATTAACATATAAAATTGAAACCAAACCTGTCATTTTTCAATTACATAAATCAAACTTTTTAAATGGGTCAAGATATATTTAATTCTTATGTCGCTTGCGTGGCCCAGTGGTGAAAACTTCTGCCCTAAAGTCACGCAGTAAGGAGTTGAATCCCACTGTGGGACGTAGAGACCTATAGAGTATAAACAGAGGTCCTGTGACGAAGAAGGTGTTGACAGGAAGATGCCTCACTCCTCAATGACCCTGAGTGCCGAGTATAGGGCAACATTTGTAGCAAAATTTTAAAAGTATTGTATACAAATCACTTACTCTATATTCAATAGACATGGTCTGAAGGGCACGAAGAAGCGTAAAATCATTTCCTCGTGATATAACGTTTTTCCGAATAGAAAATGACATATCTGCTGTCGCAGTAGATCTGTTGAAGTAGAGCCATAAACAGTCGTTTCTTTAAATAATTATTAAGGAGACATTTTGGTTGTAATATACAATCCCAAATAGAAAAATACTACAGTAAACTGTAGTAAACAATAATATACGATAGTAAAGAATAAGTAAAAACTTTGGAACTTTAATTTACTTTTTTTCTTTTAGGATTACAAAATTTTTTTTTACTTTTAATTTTTGAAAACTTTGTAACTTTGATTTACTATAGTGAACACTTTGGAACCTTGAGTAACTATAGTGAAATCTTTGAAACTTTGAACTACTATCAAAGTTTACTATAGTATTTCTAGTTAGATATTGTATCAAATGATTAAAAATTAAAACTTTTATTTGAGTGAATATTTAAGTGTTTTTACGTGACTGTGTATTATCATATCGACAATATTCATTTTCTTTAAAGGCATTGCTGCAAAAACGCTTAAGAATAAGCAGTTCTGAAATTTCGAATGTCTACAGTGGAACTCAGTCTGTTTCATCAGATTTAGAAAGTGATTCCTGCATCGGTAAATTGGGTAACAATGAAATGCAGGAAGATAGTGGCGACGAGGATTCATACACGAAGAAAACGGAGGACGATGAAAACCAGGAAGATACTGATGACGATGATGCTGGTAATTTTTTCATAATATGATTGCTTAAAATTTATTACATACATGTACAAACATAATTTTAGAGAAGCTTTTTTCATTCATAAAATCTTGAAATCAAACATAGTAATAGTTGTAAATTTTTATTTCTATAATGAACTGAATAGAAATATTCTACAACATAAACAGTATAATATCAAGTAAAGGTAAATGTTTGCTTTTTCATACTTTGTCTAGATCGTAGCCTTCTGTACTATATCATTTTATCGGGGTATCCTTTGAGGTTTGATCTAAACAGCACTTACTGGTATGGGAGACTTACAAGCATCAGAAAGACCTATAAAATGAAACACAGATCAAGAGAAAAAGACTTTCTTGCCATTAAATCAAAGATAGGGAAATGTAATATTGTAAGCGAGAGTGAAAATGTTGTATTGTTTTCAGTGAGTATTTATGGATTCTATGAAAATGACTGGGTTTGTAATTGCCTGACGTTCAACAACGATTATGACAAATTCTTCAAAGTGACACCGCCAGAAGTTTTGAGAAAATGCGTTCCGTATATGACTAACATACAGGAAACAATATTATGTAGCAGTGAGATTTCTGATATTGTCTTGAAATTTGGATTGGACTTTGTTTGCTTTTTTCACACATGTTCAAAATATTCAAAAATATATGAGGATGGTTTAAATATAAGTAAGTATTTATTTTGTTTTACAGTGCATAACATTCATGTTAAAGATATACTTAATACCTATTACATCTAAGTTTTTTATTCTAATTTTAAAAACATAATTCGCTAACTATTCCAAAATATTCAATAGGATACAACTGTTTTTAGTGAATCTTCCTCGTCATGTGGTTGATATGTCAGTCAACGTTGACGGCATTAATGAGTTCAGTGAATTCAAACAATATGTGGATAAGATCATGAAATGTGAACATAAATCTTTAAAGTCATTGAATCTGAATAGTCTGCTTGGCTCATACCTTATTGGACGAGAGAAAGGCAAAGAGAAAGGTGAGTTGATAAGGATATGTCTATCATTCTTTGAAGAATGAAGTTGCACAACTGCAACGGTGAGAGCAAACTGTAAGTAATTTATTAACACGTGAAACTCCGTATATATATATATATATATATATATATATATATATATATATATATATATATATATATATATATATATATATATATATATATAAACCACAAACCCCGTTATCCCCTGTTTCTAAATTCTTACCTTTTTTCTAGGTCCTACCGAAGGAAATCGGGTAATGCACCATCACAGTAAATTTATCTTTCCCAAATTTTCCTTTTTAAATTATATTTAATCTAAAAGGGAAGCTTCTTTCCTTTGGTAACAATACTTAATTTAAACATGTATAATAGAGTGAGTATTTTTTTTCGTAAAGACACGTTTTTAGAATATCACGGGGTTCCACACGTTTACGCATTACTCACTTTGTCTGCGCTCCCCATTGTAGTTGTGAAGGGTCATTTTTAAAGAATGACTCAGCAATGCTTAAATAAAGAAACTAATATTAATGATTTTATTCACCACACCTTACTAAGAATGTACTAGAGACTGAATGATTTGTTTTACAGAGGAAATAAATACGCTTTATCAAGGAATCTTAATACCTGGCTCTATAAAATCCTTTTTAAATAAAATTTTTAACCCTAAAGTCAAACTCTTGGGGACTCTTTGCTACCCAAAAGTAACAGATTTTAATCTCACATATAGAATTTATTCTTAGACTTCAATTCGTATTTCTTTCCATCAGAATGATTATACTAATGCTAAATAAATATTTTTTTACCATGTGTTAATATTAATTTCATATTCTACTCGCTTTATATTCATATGATTCTGTACATAATCTTGTTGTTAAATAATGTGCAATACTGTATGAATAAAGGATATCATTATTATTATTATATAATTCCTAAAGTTGAAATTTGTTCTGAAAAATCTTTTGATCTTGAATAGATAAGTTTTTTTTATCTTGAAGATTTTCATATATTCAAATAGAGAACAATAGTTATTAATTGTCATTAATAATCAGAATATTCTATTCGAAAAAAAATTTAACACCTTGCAATGATGTTGTAAAAAAGGGGGGCACCCAAAATATAATACAGGAAACTATTTTTTTCTGTTCCATTTACTTTATTTTGCAAAGCTGATATAAAAAATGAATTATTTAGTTTCCTCCGCACAGAATTCTACATATCTATAATACGTTTTTTCTATTTACTCCCTCCTATTAACAATCAATCTACTCTCCTTTTATCGCTTTTCAACTTTTTTTCACAATAAAGATGAAATTGTTTTACTCGGTTTCTCAGAAATTATAGTGCACGATTATATTACAACTCACTGCTACCAAATTTGAAGAACACATTTGAATGCTTATCTGATGAAAGGCACTAGTCTATGAATTTATATGTATTGCTATAGATGTGCTAGCTCAAATTCATAAATATTTATAAAAAATCATTTTCTGTATCTTAGATGCTGATGTTTTACGGCTCGAAGTCTTATAAAGGAATTTGGTATCATGTTCTGACAAAATCCAAGTAAAATGCAGAATGCCTGTTTAACGTATTGATTTTAGAAAAAAATTTAATATAAAGGTAGAATACGTTTTAAAACAATATTTCAAAATTAGCCTCTTAGAATTCGTAACAAAAATATAGGGATTGTTGTAATAAGCTATGCATTAAATCATGTAATTCATGTCATAAACCTGTCTGTTTATCAATACACTGAAGTCAATAATGATATTTCGACAATCACCCTGATATCTCGACATTTTCCGATCGTCCCACCGATGCTGAGATTATGAAATGTATTTCACTTAAAAATTGAAAACAAAGAAAGAAATCGAATATTATATAGCAATTTTTTTTCATTATATTTTCTGCTTCTGAGTACTGAATGAATAGGTAAAATAGAAAAACAACGATCAGAAATCAATCTCAAAGAATAAAACAAAAGAAACCTTCTACATTGATACTAAATGAATGTTGCAATACCTTTGTGTGAAAATGATCAATGGAAATCATAAAATAAATGAATCACACATAAAAGAGAGAGACTAATTTTAGAAGTTTCCGAAAAACAATGATTTCAAATTGACAAACAGTCATGTAAAATGATAAATCATTTTTTAGCATTGGATAGTCTCGGACTTTCTCATACGAAATGGAACATTCTAGTTTCTATTCTGATGTCAGAGAGTTACAGTTTATCCTTAAACTCATCATGGGAAGAAATATTAACAAGTCTTCAAAGTGTGTTCCCTTTATTAAGGTGCGAATCAAGAATGTTAGACAGTGATATCGCTGAATTGACTGATATCTATAAAGTGTTAAAAAAGGAGAATAACTCAGTCAGATTTATATCAGATGATGTCCGCCATCAAGTGATGAGTTACTTCGTAAAGAATTGTCTGATTACTGATGAGAACTACGAGAATTATATCAAGCTGTCGTCGGAGGACTCGTTATTGGAGTACGTACGACCGTGGTGGTATATGGAGAAAGAATGGTGCATGGAAAGCGAAAAATATCTGTTCCTGCCGGAAAGTTTGGAGGATTTGTTTATCCAAAGACTTGGATTAGACGTCCTACGTCACGTCATTGTGGATTGGAATAATCGGACTGAAGATAGAATTAAAAAAGTCAGAGAGGCATTTCAAGAAAAGTGTGAGTTACACTCTTACATTGTAATAATAAAGAATTAATTCAACTTCAACTTTAAAAGATCTTAAAACATTTGATAACGTTTACAAGATAAAATCTTAAATTTATACATTACAGATTTTTTTTAGTTTAAAATTCATGATAAAAATATATAAAGTTTTGTATTAATTTATGTCTTATTCCGCTTCTGCAATACTTTTCACCACAAAATCTTAAGGTAAAACTTTATCGTAAAGAAAGCTTTTGATTTTGTTCCTTTCACATAAAATTCTCTCGATATTGTTATGAGTTTAATTTGTCGTAATTTTATTAGGTCTCACCCTCTCAAATGACTTAAAGCCATATATGGTGTAACTGATCAAAAAATACAAAATTAAGTAAAGAAATATAGTTAATACATTTAAATTAAAGCTTTTCATACAATTCTGAACACGGAGAACACCTCGTTTCATCTTACAATACAATTTTATCTTCTCTGTAATGTGTTATTTAAATCTTTTGTTTTTTCTTCCGAGTCGGAGAAAATTCCGAGAATCCAAATTAAATTGTGATATCTTTATAACGCAATTGACTTAGATTTTGTAATTTACGGAAAAGTTCTAGCTTTATATAAAGTAATGATACAAATAATAAGTTCTTATAATTTTAGTCTAATAATTTTCATTGTACATACGCCATATATGGCTTTAAAATCCTGAGAAGAAGTAAAACATGTTTGCATTAATGATTTGTTCTCACATATTTACCGTGAAAAAACGTGACATTTTCATCTTTAAAGAAAAGCAGTAACGAATGTAGCAAGGCGATTGTTTACGAATTAATATATCACACCGTCAAGTCACATTGTATTTAACCCCTCACGTGAAAAGCGGCAGTTTATATGATAATCAAGATGTCTGTATTTTCATCCGTCTGTCCGTCTAATTGTCCGTCCGTCTATTAAGCTTTAAGGTACATGTACCCTTTTTTATCCGCAATTTCTCATAACCACTGCATGAAATTTGACGATACTTTTTATATATTGTCATTTGTCACCTCTTATTTTACTTTTTGATGCGACTCATATTTTGGGTTTCTCATGGCAAAATATGGACACTGTCATTATATTCATAAAGGAGGCGGGAGTATCATTTAGTGAGCTCATAGGATCTTTAGTTTTAATATATAATTATAAGATATGGAGAACATATTCTGAGTCAGTAAAATTTTACTTAGGTTTTCGATTTTTATCGATATCCCGTTTTCAAGGGTATAGGACTACTGCATTCCCGTGCTGATGTTATAGACCACATGTGTTTTCACAATATCGTTGGTTTCATTAGCGCCGAAAATCATGTTATTATATAAATATAGCCCTTTGGTAAGGTCGATCCATAGATATATGGACTTCACAGAAAAGCATATCGACCGAGCACGAAGTGCGAGGTCGATATTTTTTTCTGTGAAGTCAATTTATATCTATGGACTGACCCAAGCAAAAAGCTTTATTTGTTTTATTATGTTTTTACAGAGGTTGATAAGGTTGATCAATTTTGACAAAGACATTCGATATGTTCTAATATTAAGTAGATCCTCATTCAGGCCATTGTTACGTCTTATGAGTTACAGAACATTACAAATTTAAAAACAAGTTGTAGTATATATATATTTTTTTCAAAAACATCGAGTCATATACTGTATTAGCTATAATTGTGAAATCTTTCCTATTATTTTTTTTTTGTTTTACAGAAAATTACCGCTGTTTTAAGAAACATCAAGTCGATGTGCATTTCAGATTCTATAAATAGTAACTCAAGTCTATATGCTGTTATATACTAAATCATGTGATCAAGTTTAAGCCAATAAAAGAGCTTGGAATATATGACTAAAATAACATAAGACTTTAAAGCTGCTTAGTCAGATTAGAAAAAAAATGTTCGTGATTCTTCTTGAAAAATAATTGTCCATAAATTGTTTCAACTTTTGTTAAATTACATCCCCAAAGTCATTTTCTTAAAAAAAAAAATTCAAAAGTTGAAAAAATACTTTTTGTTAGGTCAAACAAAAAATAATCCTTTGTTGACATCGCAAAAATCATCCTCGAAAAATCAAATTTATCGCTTATATCTCATGAAGAACAAACACGAGCATTTTTTTTAACAGCCAGGTACAGCTTACATTAACATTGTATTTGTACACGGACACTATTTTAGCCTTTGTTTCTAAACTTCCTTTAAAAAGATCTAATTATCTTTTATTCTTTATATGCATATTATATAAAGATAATTTATATTATGACTTAGGCTTCTACTAATGGGGAAAATACTCGGGTCTGAATTATCTTCATAATGAGATATAACCGATAAATAATTTTTTTCTAAGGTTTTTTTTTAAATAAACTATCAAATTAATCTTATAATTTATCTTTCTACATTTTCTATGTAATGACGTACTTTTATTGTGTAAGATAATATGTGCCTGTTTTGGATTAAGCGGCTTTAAATAGAATAATGTTTTTTTCATCCTAACTTGCAACACATACCAGAAAGTATACAATTTTGATATAACCACTCAGGAAACAATTATAATATTTTGATATTCCCATTTGACACATTTTTATTCCAGGCTCAACAATCAAATAATCTGCCCTATTTTTTTTTAATCAAATTTCTTGACATAATTTAACCTTTTTGCATTGCTATCTTGCAGTGACATGTTTTAATCCTATTGAGAATCATTCTAAGCATGTAATTCGTGTTTGTTAACTGTAGAATTGTCATATATCCTATTTCATTCCTAATTACAAAAGTTTGCACTTTAAAAAATATTTCAGCCAAAATAGTTTAAGGTCAAGATCTAGTAAATAGAAGGTGCCTGCAGATTTTTCAAATTTAGGAAATTAATTCCTTTAATGATGCATTATAATATTAGCTTGGTCAAAATAGATGTTTCGGGGCATAATTTGTAGAAAAACAAGATGAAAAACCATATTTAAAACTGCCATTTTCAGTGAAAAATTAAGAAAACCAGTATTGAAAATGGGAGTTTTTTTCCATATCAGGCAAAGAAAATGTATCCAGATATCCTACAGTTTTTCAGAAAACGGTTATTTGTATGTTCTTAGTCTCTACTTTAAAATGATGTCAAATTTAAGATAGGTATCGGGACTACTTTTCATGTGATTTCATATTGAATTCCATGGAATTACTTTATTTTCTTCATAATTCTATTAGAGCCGTAAAGTACGGGAAAAAGAAAGTTGAAAGTGATTATGACGTCATAATGGATTTAGCTCTGCAAAGTTATTCTAAAGTCATTTACTAGATCTTGACCTTAAAACCATGTGTTTTACTTATTTTCTCATGGGTTTCGCCTAAATGTCGTTATCTGATTGGTCAGTCAGGATTGGTTAGAAGGATTGGCACATTGTTTAATATCTAAATTTAATTATTCACACTTATTGTTTTTGACTTCTACTGTTGAAAATCATCCAGACATGTTAAAGAACCAAGGTGATATGATTGGGAACGGATAATTAGTTTTTTTGCTTTAATTTCATACTTGTGCAAGATAGATGTAACAAGATATATGGAACAAAGCTAGCACCTACAAATTTGTACAAATCTGTGACATTAAGTGGCGCGCTTTAATTTGGACTCAAATATTTAAGAATGTTCTTGATCAAACTCTACTTTTTATGGGTTGTTTGAAAAGTTCGTAGACTTCTTTCATATCTTTTTAATATGACGTCATATATTATCGAAATTTGATAGACATATTTTAAAAATAAATTCAAATTATTTGTTTTAATTTTTATTAAAATATGATAGTTTATTAAAACTTATCCAGGTTTAAAAAATGCAAAAAAAGGGTCGCGGAGTAGGTCAAAATGTAGCTAGTTACAAAAAATACACTAAATAAATGTTTGTAATCATATGTTCTGTAAAATGGAGGAACAACTAAAAACAACCAGAAATTTGATTAAAGATTTGTTACATTTATTGGTATTCCAAATTACGGCTTAATATTTTGCTTCGTTGAAAAAATAAATCAACTTGTGAAGATAGGTAGTCCTCATTGCAAACAACAAAAAGATGACATTTTAGGACGTCACGGAGCAACAGACTACGATGCAATTTTTTGTTTCACTCAAAAAAAATCCTGAATAAAATATTTATATGTTGAAGGAATGAAAAAATATGTCACAAGCGAGTTGTGCACATGTGTACAAATAGTAAAGGTAGTTTTTGAGTGACATAGACTTTGTATTGGAAGAGGACAATCTGAGAAGAAACGGTTAATTGTAAAAATCTTAACAGCTTTAAAAAGTTGGAACGTCAAGGAGAGACATTTGCGCCTCAGAGCTGCTTATTTAACCTGTGAAAGCAGAGTTATTACTTAAAAGAAATTTAAAACCTAACAAGGGAAATTTAACATCGAAAACGATTCTTAAAAATGTATAGGTTAAATATTTTTTAGAAATTCTTGACATTGTCGTTTAGAGTGCTCAGCGGGGACAAAACATATTTATCGCAATAACTTACATAGTTAGATCATTCAAAGGTTTAGAATGATCTTACTATGTAAGTTATTGCGATAAATATGGGCTTAAACATAGAGAAAACAAAGTGAAGGTCTTAAAATCTTATTTAATATATAAATGCAAATATAAGAAATCACTGTAGAGTTTGTTGAGTATGACAGGAACATCAACGATAGTTTAAAAATTGGTATAATTTATGCACGTTATCACATAAATTATCCAACGCTTCAAACTATCGTTAAGACCTTGGTATTCTTAACAAACTAAATTATAATCCCTTGTATAATTCGAAGAAAAGAGGTTTGATACAGTCCTTAAAACATCCTACATTCCCATCTGAATGGTGAGCGAACGCTGAACGAATGGTGAACGAACGATGAACGAACGCAGAGCGAACGGTGAGGTAATGATGTGCGAACGCTGAATGCAACTTGGTGAACGATATAAAACGGTGAACGGTGAGTGAACGCAGAACACGAGCGGAGCGCGAACGCGAGCGAAAAGTGAACAGTGAACGAACGGTGAACGCAAGATAAACGATTTATTCGGAATTCCTCTGATCCTTTCCTTGCATAATTATCTTATTATTTTATAATTCTAATTACAGGTGCTTTAATATGAATAAACAATAGATCAATAAATAAAAACTTTTTTCTGTATAGATATGTACCTATGTTTTCAATCGATATTTTTATAACACGATTTTAATTGCCGTAAAATATGTGTATTTGTTACCGAACGCTTGTAGATTAAAAATAAAGTTAGTTTATTTATATAGTGAATATGCTTATTCTTTTCCGTAATAAAATAATGTGGACTTCTGAAGATAAAACTACTACTTATAGAATGAATTAATTTCATTGTACGTGGTTGAAACAACCATAAATTTTATTTCGGTGCCAAGGCGATTCTGAGTAAAATTATGAATTTTTTTTTTCAATTCACAGTTGTCTTTTGACGTACATGTATCTGTAAGCGTTTCCCGGCCGTGATTATACTCGGTCAAGATGATGGAAAGAGGCATTCAAGTTATTTGTATTAGATTAAATTTTCAAAACTGAATAAGTAATGTGCTTTCAAAAATTTTATTGAACAGAGAAATGTGTGTATGTGTGTGTGTGTGTGAGAGAGAGAGAGAGAGAGAGAGAGAGAGAGAGAGAGACCCTCAATACTCAGATATCTGTTGTATCAAATGAAAATTCTTATTATTTTTTCCTAAATATACCAAGCAGTAAAGGTAATCATATTTTTCGATTAACAAATCTATTTGACAGTAATCTTTGGATTTGATTTTCTATCATCACGTTCACACGCTTCACAGGAAGTCCACAAGCTAGAGGCGTACTTGTCCTGTCAATCAAAATCATTCAACACAGTGAAGGTGTGGGACTCCAACGTAAATTTATTTGTGTGGGTTTCAAAAATTTAAAAGAGACAGTGGGGCAGTTCACAAATGATTACTCTGAACACCCCCCCCCTTTTTAAAAAAAAAAATCAGTGGAAAAATCGTATTAATTTCGTGGGGTTAGATTTATAATCAACCAAGCCACTATTGCGTGATATCGTTATTTGTTAATAAATTAAAAATGTAAATAGTTTACCAAAATTATTTACGAAAGCGAAAATGAAAAAAAAAAATCAAGGAGGGTGGGATGAGGGGGGGGGGTGGCACCAGTGATTGCGCGGATCCCCTTTTGTTAAACTAAATTAATTTTATCCAAACATGAAGGTAAAATACCCACCCACCCCTTTCCTTCATCTGTTTATTTCAATTTTGTATATGACGACCGGAGGAGGACATCGACGGACATTTCTCTCAGATTACGTTTTTGTTTCAAAAATATTCCGGATCCTGCATGATTCTTATATATCAAAATGTTTTGCATTAATTAAGTCGTAGCTTAAATTAAAAGAATGTCAGCAAGACCTGAATAGAGAAAAAAAAAACACCACGTAATGAAATCTAAATTTATTTTTTTTTTAGAAAACAAATTATATTATGCATCCCCTAAATATTTGTTTTAAAATGATTAATACCTGCACATAAGTCCAATTCACTCGGCATTTCATTCGTGAATGGTTAAATGGGATACTAAATCAACTTTCGGCAAAATCATCTGATTGGTTGCGTGATATGTACCGGGTACCAAAATACGCATGTAACCTAGAGCAAAGCTCGTTGCAAGGCAACGAGTAGGTCTTCCGTCCTGTTTGACCGGAAGAAGCTTTTATTTTTCACAAAAATGAGAAATTACGCCCGAAAGTGCTTTGAATCCTCTAAAACTTTATATAATGCAAAAAAAGCCATTTTTGCTACTTCCGGTTTGACCGGAAGTGACGACAACGCACGGAAAATTACTTTTTTTTAGCTCCTAGAGACATATGTTACCTCAAAACTTGTAAAAAACAGAAAGAATACGCGTTTTCCGACTACTTCCGGTTTGTTGCCGGAAGGGACGACGCTTCACATTTTTCGACGACTCCGTCAGATTAAGCTTGACATTTTCAACAAATTTACTTCTTTGATGTAAATTGATGTAAATAAAAAAAAACATAATCTGAAAAAGATGTAAAAGTGTCAGCATGCAATCTCACATCAATGCTTTGCACTGGGCGCCGAATAAATATCTATTTAAAATAAGCTTTATTTAGTCTCCTTTCATTATTAAATCAATAAAGATTTTTCATGGATAATTAAATAATTGTGCTTAGCCCTCACTGATCAACTACAGTCGTAATATACAATTAATAAAAAATTTCATTAATTTCAGTCAAACTTCCATCTATTGTGTTTTGCGAGACGAATCGGAAAATATTTGTGGAATATGTGAAGAAAATCTCAAAAGAAAAACAAGTTTCCATGCAGTCTTTGAATCTTAACAGTCTTTTTGGATCCTTTTTAATTGGAAGAGATGACTACAGCTCTGAAGGTAAGATAACGTATAATTAGATGTGATAGTAAATTACACCTAGGACGAGGGTATTTTTTCACAAACAAATTTCCTTAGAAAAAGATAAAGAGAGTGTGATAAAGGTAGAGAAAGATTATTGCCATTTTCCTTTAAATCTATTTCAATGCTGATCATTGAGTTAATTTCCTTTTTTCAGTCCACATTGATAGACTGCAAATCTTTTCATTTTAGCTACTTCAATGGAGTTCAAAATTACTGATTTTTAAAATGATCAAAATTCATACAATGTCACTAAAATTGAAGATATTTTTCACTCCGGGTGTAAAAATTGTCATTTCATTGTATACAGAGAAAATCGGGGATTGTAGTACAGAAAGACTCATGGAATATGCAGATTTGAAATGTCTTTTATTATTAACACATTAATAACAATGACAAAACTAAACATATGTTAACAAGTCTACATGTATAATAATGCGTAGGGCGACGGTTTCATAATCATAATGTTATCCTTCGCCACAATACTCACACATAGAAAGTACATATTTTTTTATTCGGCAATATGAGCCTGCGGAACATACATGTATTGCTACATACCATAATGAATACAGAACGAGCGTATTTGCAAGTACGGGGATGCAAGTGAAAGAATGAAAAAAATAAAGACCACTGTGGCAACGCACTTTGAAAAAATTACGCACTTTGAAAAAAAATTTCAAAGTGCGTTAATTTTTGGGACAAGGTTAACGCACTTTGAAAAATTTTTTTTTTTCAAAGTGCGTTAATATGGACCATATTAACGCACTTTGAAAAAAAAATTCTGCATGGCTTAGTCAATATTCCTACAAATCTTAAGTATGATAACTTATCATTTGAACCTGATTTGATATTTTTTGTCCCCCGCTTGAAAAGTGGGGGGTATTAATTTGGGTCTACCTGTCCGTCCGTCCGTCTAGCTGTCCGTCCATCCGTCTTTCTGTAACGCTTTCGTTTCCACACGATATCTCGACAACCCTTTGAGCTTTTGCAATGAAATTTAACATAACAGAATCCCTGTGGCCTTAGGAAGACCCCTTTTGAATTTGGGGTCAAAAGGTTAACATTCAAGGTCGTAAAGAACTACGAACAATAGTATTATTCTTCCGCCTATCTATAAGTCAATTCTCAAAAGTTAACATCTTGGAATGATTCTCCAATTTTTTTTTTTTACATATTTATATGAATTTTCATAAAACCTTACTTATTTGGGATACCAAAGAGAGATAACTCTATAATTTTGGCAAAACTTGTGTTTTCCACTATAGAAATCAACGGAAAAATTAAAATATTTTTTAAACAACTCCCCCCCCCCCCCCCCCCCCCGTGAAACAAAAATTCTTTTTTACAGATAGTATGGACTGTTATTTTACAAATTTATGCCAAAGCTTTTTGTGTTTCACATGTTAAATGAACAATTCCTATGAAAATATCATGTAAGTTAAATACCTGGAGGTTAACAGAGAGATTATCAGATATGGTATCAAATTAACATCGAAAAGCAGACAGGTACATGATATAATTAAATGTAATTAATGTAATTAATATTCTGATTTTCCTGAAAATGAACATAAATAGACTTTGAGATTTAAAAGAACAAAATTTCGATTTACTACAGACTTCCGTGTACAGTGCTTAAATTGTATTTAGAATGCTTTTTTTCAAATATCATTGACACTTAAGTTTACGAGTTATAATAATAGATACATCTGGGTGGGAATGATAAAGAGTTGCGCTGATAGACCTTAATTCAGCCAGTCTTTTCTTCGTTGTCCTTTTCTAGGTTTTCTTTAATCCATCAGTTTTTAGAAAGAAACACATCAAAGTAAGGGCACCGCAAAACGGAGCATTCCTTCCAAAAAAAGCATGTTCAGTAAATCAAGGCAGCATTTGACATCGATCGCGATACAAATTACATCAATTCCACACAGAAAAAAATAACATACACATAAAGTAATAACACACATAATCACATAACTATATCCCATCATACGTTGCGAGGGGGTAATACTGTTGTCTTTTTCTAAAATATAAGTCTAATTCCTTTTGTTTCATGAAAATTTTTTCAAAGTGCGTTAAATGTTTACATGGTGTAAAATTATGATGTGCAGTCTTAACGCACTTTGAAAAATTTTTTCAAAGTGCGTTGATTTGGTCCCAAATTCAACGCACTTTGAAAAAATTTTTCAAAGTGCGTTAACCTGGTCCCAAAAATTAACGCACTTTGAAAAATTTTTTCAAAGTGCGTAATTTTTCAAAGTGCGTTGTAACAGACCACCAAAGTTAACAGAAATTTTTCGAAAGAATTCGAGAACTTAAAAGATAATTATCTGCAAATGTAATATATATACATTGCATTCATGCAATGATGAAAACTATTCCCTTATTTGACCGTAAAATATTTGATTTGTTGATAGACATTGTGTTTCGAACGTTTTTTAAATTTATTTTTAGAAAGGTTGTTTAGTAGCAATTATAATTTAAAAAATGAGTTGCATTCCTGACTGCAGTTGAATTTATAATTAAAACCATAGAACCCCTAAGTTCAAAAAGTGTTGATAAAACAAGAGGTAACTAATTGGATTATCCCAGTACCTAAGTTCATTGGTACTGCCTTTGAAATACGGATACATTTTCATTGCTTTCGTAAAATGAAAAAGTTTATTTCAAAATGATGGATTATATATCTCATGCATAGCTCTAAAACTTTGATGTATTTGGGTTTGTTCTTTGGCATCCCCCCTTACAGCTCTTCTAAGTTATTTTTAGAAAGCTTTCCTTATGTAATCCTCACTGTGCTTCCAACCGCCGAAAACCACGATAGGAATATTTAATAATCTAGACTACCACAAGAAAATCAGTCTCATAAGTATAGATATATCAATAGGTCCAAATTGTTGATATCCAATGAAAGGTCTTGCCACAAAATTACATATGTGAAATATAAAAGGCAATATATCTACCGTTCCAATTTTATGACCAAACAAAAAATCTTCATTTTTTTGTGTAAAAACGGATCAAATTCCAAGGTCAAGGTAAAAAGTCAAATTTTTTGATACCCAAAGAAGGCCTTGTCACAGTACAATTGTGAAACATGAAAGTCATAGCTTCACTAAATCGAGGTTATGGGCAAGGTTAAAGTTTTTTTGTAAGGGACGACAGACGGACTTACTGACAGACAGACGAATGAGATTTAAAGCCCCCTCCCTCGCTTTCGCGAAAGCGTGGGACAATATGTATAACATACATGTGCTTTGATAAGATATTTTTATTTCAGTACCTGAAATTCTCGCACTTTCTCAGACAAAAAAGAGCATTCTCGTTTCTATTCTGATATCAGAGAGTTACAGTTTATCCTTAAGTACAACATGGGAAGAAATGTCAAGAAAACTTCAAAGTGCGTTCCCGTTATTAAAGTGTGATTCAAAAACATTAGACAGTGATATCACTGAATTGAAAGATATCTCTAAAGTATTGAATAAGGAAAACAACTCAGTCAGATTCATATCAGATGATGTCCGTCATCAAGTAATGAGTTACTTTGTGAGGAATTGTCTGATAACTGATGAGGACTACGAGAATTATATCAAACTGTCATCAGTGGACTCTTTGTTGGAATACGTACGGCCGTGGTGGTATATGGTAGAAACAGACCTCAAGAAATGGTTGTTCCTACCGGAGACTTTGGAGGATTCATTCTTCCAAAGACTTGGATTAGACGTCCTACGTCACCCCACGATAAAACGTTTTGGGGAATGTGATGAAGAGACAACAGATACATTCAGAGAAAAAGTGAAAGACAACTGTGAGTAACACTGCAACTGAGAATAAATTTTCATATTTTGTAGGGGAAAAATTTTTCTTAGCCCTTTTAACACTTTACAACTTACAAAATTGTTATGCCAAATAAAGTGAATCCTCACGTCATAGAAGTATTACGTTACCATTTCCCCGCAAGCACTTTCTAGCAGGGTGCAAGTTTCTCTAAAGTTTAGCGTAAATAATATCATGACGTAATATTTTAATTAGAAACTAATTATTCTTATTTTATGAGATTAAGCAAGTATGAAATAGTTTGAATTTGGCAATAAAGTGAAGATTTAATGAACTTTTTAAAGTGCGTGAAAATGCGTGATTGCGGGGAAACGGTAAATGCGTGATTTTGCGTCAGAAAAAGGAAATGGTATATGCGTTAAAATGCGTGACTGCGGGGAAGGGGGTTAAGGATTATAATATATGATTAATTTAAAAGTTCAGTTTACCAAAAAGAAAAACGATAACTAATTATTATCCAACTAAGCTTATAAAAGTGAATCAATAACTGTAATTTTTTTTAATTCAAAGTTAACGTACCGGAGGAAATATTTGGCTGGGAATATGGCGCACGATATAGATACATAGAATGTGCCAAAAGGGGAACAAAGACAGTACATAGAGCTCGCGCAATGATTGTTGGATGTGCAGGTGCTGGGAAAACCACTCTTCTAAAACGACTTGAAAAGCTAGGATTAGAGGAATTGCTGAAGGTGGACTCAACTGTTGGACTTGAGGTTCATGAAGACATGTTTGAACTGGATGAGGACTCTTGTTTAAGAGGTATGTGTAAAATATATTTATTAATGATTTCTTTATTCCGTGTGTAAATGGAATTAACAATGGAAACATCTCCTGAAAAAAAATAATTAATATTTCTAACCAGTTTTTTAATTAGGCAATATTGCAACTCTTAATCCGCTTCAACAACATAAAAAAGGCATTTCTTTGTATATATTTATGTTTGCGTAAATAAACGTCTAAAGTGCGTTCATGGAGGCACGAGAAAATGTTATACCGTAAATCTGGAAATTTTAATGTCCATTTTTTTTGCGAATTCGGGTCATAATGCTGTTGAATAATTTTTACGCTTCAAAATTTTGCGATTGATCACTGCTTTGTTAACATTTCGTTATGGGTGATTTATTTTTTAGAAAAATATTTTTGCGAATGCAATGAACTCGCAAATTTGCTAAAAAAAAAATTAGCTGCATATTGTTTTACGTCCCTAAACATGCATTAGTTTTACAACCCAAAACGTTAGTTCTATTTCATTTTTTTTCAAAAAGCAGAGGTCAAAAAACCTTATGCTTTAATAAGATGTACGCCGTCTGTCTAGCTGTCTTACGGCTTGTAAACAATTCTTTATTTCAAAATTATACGCCAGCATAATTAGTGCAATGTTTATATTACTAGGTTTGCATAATCTCTAATAAGATACACAAATTTGTTCATTTTTTTAAATTTACTGCCGTGATACAGAGTGACTAGAAATTAACATCTTTAAAATCGCTACCTTTTTTGCAGTTTTCGTCTAAAATCAAAATAACCGGCTAAAAATAAATACACTTTGAAAATATCAATAACTCTGCTTATCTGTTAAAATCTGTTTCAAGTGTAGCTAAAAATACAAATATCCGTGAAATTTACCTCCTTCCGTCTTATTCTGATTTCAATTTGAATTTTTTTTACATAAGTGCTGAAAAGTACACAATACTGAGATACGTTATTTTTTGTATAATGTTTTTGATGCAAAGTGTTGCCATGGTTACTTTAAATGAAGTTAATGACTTCTTTTTATCAGAACAATACCTTTTTTAAAACAGTTTTTTTAAAATCCGATTACAGTTAGACCTTTCAACAAAAGCTTCACTTCACTTAAACGCTAAATGAAATTCTTTCAAAGCTTACTTGCCTTAAATTGTTGCTTGGATTTCAGTAAGACTTTAAATAAGTAGGTTATTGCTGGCCACACTAAGATTTAATATTCTTTAAGTCAGTTAATGATACCGATAAACAACGTTGCAGGAAAGGCTACACAAACAGAAATTTCATACACGAAGAATTCGTTTCAAAATGCTACATATCCTACATTTTATTGTTCGATTTCAAAAAACCTTTCTTACAAATACCAGTAAACGTAACCAATATACAGTCGTATCTCTTTTTAATATAAGCACATGGTGGTGCTCTGCTTACTATTTGTAGAAATTTGAAATACTCTCAAAAGGCTATTTCTACAACAACTTTTTTCTAATTGCTGTCAAATTGACGTCAAGAGACTTAAGATAACAAGAGGCCCACGGGCCTTATAGGTCACCTGAACATTATGCAACAATTTTCCAGTTATTGAATTTGATTCATGTTTTAAGCCAGATGCTATATGACATTCACAATTTTGAAAGAGGCACCATTGATCATCATAACAATACACTTAGCAGTTGCTTAGCTTGGTTACTGAATACCCATATGCAGGGTAGGGGAACAAAAGGCATTCCAACTAACCAGTAGTACCCCTAACACTGTGACATAAACCCCTGACCCTAGGTCCACACATTGCACAAATTTCAAAAAGGCACCCTTAATATCAAAAAATAAATAAATGTTTTATAAATACAAAAGAGCAGATTTCAAACAATAAATTTATTTTCAGTATATAAGTAGAGCCCCCACACCACCCCTGACCCTGGGGCTTTGAAATTCACAATTCTGCAAAATTAGGGCCCTTGCTCATCATAACTATAAAGGTAGTTCAACTGCTTTATACCCAGAGACGAAGAAAAAAAAATTCAAAGATTTAATGTATTTTCATTATACAATCAATTGAGCCCCGCCCCCCTAACACATCAGAACCCCTGACCCTGGGGCCATAAAATTCATAATTTTAAAAGAGGCATTCTTGCTCATCATAACTATGTACTTAGTTTATTTAATTCCTAGGAGCAGAGAAGAAGATTTTCAAAGAATTCATGCATTTTCAATATATAATCAATAGAGCCCTGCCCTAACACCAGAAACCCTGAACCTGGAGCCATAAAATTCACAAGTTTGGTAGAGGCACTCTTGCTCATCATAACTATGCACTTAGTTGGTATATTTAATACCCAGCGGCAGAGAAGAAGATTTTCAAAGAAATCCTGTATTTTCACTATATATAATCAATAGAGCCCCGCCCTAACACCAGAACCCCTGACCCTGGGGCCATAAAATTCACAATTTTGGTAGAGGCACTCTTGCTCATCATAACTATGTACTTAGTTGGTTTATTTGATACCCAGGAGTAGAGAAGATTCCAAAGAAATTATGCATTTTCACTATACACTTATTAAGCCCCGCCCTAGCACTAGAACCCCTGACCCCAGGGCCTTGAATTTCACAATTTTGGTAAAGGACTCAATGCTGATTACAATCATGCAAACAGTTTGACTGCTCAATGTCCAGGAGTAAAGAAGAAGATTTTTAAAGATTGCTTTAATTTTAGTGGTTTTGGCCCCACCCCTAAGGCCCCAGGGGGGCAGGGATCATGCAATTCACAATTTTTGTTCCCCTTTACCCATAGATGCTTTGTGCCAAATTTAGTTGAAATTGGTTCAGTGGTTGCAGAGAAGAAGCTGTAAATGTTCAAATGTTAACACACGATGGACGACCAACGACGGACGACGGACGACGACGGACGAAAACGGATAGCAATAGGTCACCTGAGTTTACTCAGGTGACCTAAAAACACAATAGATAGGCTAGATTTTTCCTCAAATTCAATTTTTTGAAACATTGATATTAAATTGTTCTAGTATACAGAATCTCTCTGTATGATATGAAAGAAATTCAACCACGCATATTTTGCTCACATAGTCTTAAATATGGCCTATCACACACCCGTAAGAGGATTGTGACCTCAGACATTCGACTTCAGAAGGAGTCTTATTTTTGAAATATCATTTGATCTTTTGCAAATTTGTGTAATACTTTTTATAACAATAACCTTTTTGTTACTTTAAAATCGGTAAGTCAAATGAATACTGGAAAATCTGAGTAAAATATTCAGTAAAAATAAAACATACATAGCGTCGGAATAGATAATTAACATGTAAATATCCGACAGTTTTAGGTTCCTTAAGAGGAAATGTATTATTCAATTTTTACAGAAAAAATACAGAATGATTTAAATGGGTCATAGAATAAGATGTGTAAAAAAAGAAAATTGAAACAGTGGTTTCAGATATGTCGGCGATTAAAAAAATTTCAATGGCATAAAATCTAAAAGGTTCAATAGATGACGTCACAATATTTGACCTTTGACCTCTTGATATGATCGTGACCTTTGTAGTTCATAAAGGATGGAGACTTCTTATATATGTTTCCAAATATCAACTCTCTACAATTTATGGAACAAAGTTACATAACCTTTTATAACAGACTGTTACGTCCAAAATGCAAGCCCCCAAGTGACCAATATATAGGATTCTTTGATTTTTTCACAAAATATGACGCAGACATGCCAAAACGTATTATTTTTCTACAGGGATCATTCATTGTTGTCAATTAGTAGTAATATTATTCTTTTTTCTCCGTTACTTTTTAAGAAATTGGTTGAAATAGAATCCAGGGTATTTTTTCTCGTACCTTAACCAAGGATCGTCATTCTATTTTACATAGCTGTTTCAATAGTTTCACGTTCAAGTTCTACTTTGTTAAGTAAATATCAGTGGAGCTACTGTCTCATCAGACACAACTTGAGTTTTTTAAATGTAGTATATCAATATGATGTCATTGTGCTGCGCAGCTGTTGTAACAAACCCATGTACATGTATACTATTACATATTGGGAATATGATCATCAAAACAAAGAATAAATTATTCTCAAATATTAATGACATTTTTATTCGGATTTTTAACACACAAAACAATGCATTAGTCAGTTGTTAATCATGTTCAACTCAATTTTGAATGAACTTTGTCATTTATTTCTTTAATATACCTAACATCCATTGGAGTAGGTAATTTGATAAAAAAAAAAGTTTTATTTTTCGATTAGTTCATAAAATCGTTTTTACAGCGTTATCAGACAGTACAAACAAAGACGACAAGCATATACTGAGCGTGGTCGATTTTGGAGGACAGTGTGCCTACTACGCCCGTCATCAGGTGTATTTCAGCACCTTCTATCTACTGGTGATAGATATGTCAAAACCTTTCACAGAAACAGTTGACGAAAATAAATGTGAGCAACGGGAGACAATGTTTGCAGACTGGACATATGGAGGTAATGAAAAGATTTAAAAGATAACATAGTCAACATGGTCAAAGCGCCTTTTATATTTTATTATTAGTATAAAGAACATTTGTTAATTAAAAACGAAAATATTTGGCGCAATAGATATAAATATTGAAGAAATAGCGAGCCTCAGTTAAAGTTTAACAAAATCGATTTAACTATTGTGATATAAGTGATTTATATTTACAACCATTCTTTTTTTTTTTGCCCAATATAGATTTCGTTCATCAATTAAACCTAAACAACTATATAAGTAAACAACTAGATAATTATGTGTCGGCTGTTCCAACAATGAAACATGCCATAACGTACAAATTACCTGATCCCACCTCTGATGTTTCAGAGGTCCGTGTTTGCTCTGCTCTTGTTTTGTATATTGTTTAATGGACTTTGAGATTGAATACTGTTCGTTATCTCCATATCCTTCCTTAAATTAATAATACATGCTTTACTACTTAGATTCATTTTATCTGAATACTAGTATCTAAACGGTCGTAAATATTTACAATAATTTGCCTTGTTTCATTAAATGCGGGATTAACGATTGCAGTCAATGCAGAAATAAAATATGGAGCCCGCTTAAGCGACCTTTTTCCTGCCATACTCACCATATGTGCCGTATATCATATTCCTCCTCTTAATTTTTTTTTATTCAGCACACCCCGTTTTGAAATGAGATTTTATATTATCTGCAAACGATGTTAAGGGGATATACTGGAATAAGAATATTGTCTGTTTGTCAGTTCCTCTAGCTGTCCTTCTATCTCTATACGGGATTTTCTTCGGATCTGTTCTGTAATCATTCTATTCACTCATTATTCACCTTGTTAAGATACATGTATGCTCCTGGTATTTTCATCATGATTTAAAAAATTATTATTTTGTCCGGTGGTGTAAACGAAGACTATTGCAAGGAAGGTTTTTGTCTCATTGTTTTCTTTTAGAGCATTTACTATTAAGCAGCAGTTACCTGTATCCTTTGGAAGTAATACAGACAGAAGCTTTTGATTTCTTAATTATTGTAATTTATAGCATGTGTATCTTGTGATTAAAGTCAGTTCCATAACAGACTATTCTATTTGAATATCCTCTTTCGTTCTTCTGTCTTTGGTAATAGAAGCAATAGAAGGTGATTAAAAAAAAAATTATGCGCTAAAAGTAATGCGTAAATAACGTTCAAGCTTTACTAAATCTATTCAGAAAGTTGTGTCGGAAATCATAGCTAAATAATTAATGTGTTTTTTTTTCATTTTAAAATATTTGTCAACCCCATTCAGTTAAAAATATATACAATTATATTTCCTGTTGTAATTTCAGAATACGTTCTTTTCTGGCTGAAATCTATTCACACGTACTGTGCTGAGGACACATCAGTCATTGTTGTAGCTACACACAGTGAAAATGCTACACAGAAGGTAATATGTTAACTTGATACATCAGAGTGGAAGTCTTTTTCTTAGTTTTATTTCAAAATTTAAAAATAAATGGAGGATTCACAAGTACTTTAAAACTGTATAAATATAATTTGCTCCATTAAACTATGACATTATTAACAGAGCTCGAAGTTACGTGTACTGGGAATAAATAACTTCATTATATTTGTTTATTTCTTTTTCTTGCGAACTATGATCATTGTTAGCTTCAACTTGTCCGTCGACAAAAAGTCTGTCTGTATCAACGAATTGAAACATGTTGCACATGTTGCATACTCGTGGTTGACATATTTTCATCAACAGAAATACAATTTCATTATTAACTTATTCTCTCTCTGTCAATCGAATGCTATTTCCGGCCTTCTATTTTTAATTAATTTCACCTTAAATTGAATCTATTAACTAAGTTTGTAAGTTTGTTGAAACACCTGACTTTGAGCGAAATCGTTACAGGATATTTAAAGCCCCCAAGAAAACGTCAAATCAATACAGTCCAAAAATCACATCTCGAAAATGAGAAGTTTGGTTTCCGTTTTACTATTATTCAATGAGGTAGTGCGGGTATTTGCCTACTTCAAGGCAGGATTCTTCTCTAGTTTCTTTAGTAGATGAATTATTCCAAGTAAATTTGCTTGTATGTCTTATATATTTAGGTTTAAGAGATTTAAAAAACCATATTTTTCTTTTCTCATCATAATTTTACAAATTTTAATAGAATGATAAACTGTGTTTGAAAAATAACAGGGACTATATTTTTCGTGAAATGGTGGCGTATGAAAATGTCTTAATTTCTGCCTCTTAAAATTATTATAGAACATTAAATTTAGTTAAAATTTTTACCCAATCAAAGACTAGACGAAATTGTAAAGTGTTGGTAAAATTAATAATAAGGACACTAAAGTTTCAAAATATATCAAATAAATAAGATTTTTCAGACATACTAGAACTATGCTGGCTTTTAAATGCTTCAAATATAAGTACAGATTTTAGCCTTAAATCCGTATAAAGGTGTTATTTTTCTCTTTGTAAAGGATCTTAATCTTAATCTTAATCAAGATAAGATAAACTTTATTTGATTTTTAAAAAAAGATTAAATTTTTATTTAATGTTAAATAACATTTATTTCATTTTCATTTCTACCCCATGTTATTTAATCAAAATGCTTGCAAGTATTAAAACATGCGTTTTGTAAACGATTGGAAGTGCTGCTAAGAATAATTTTTATGTTCATTGATTTAAAATTTCTTTGGGTGCTGACTCAACATACATGTACCATTTTTTTTATAATGAATGCAGATGTATAGTAATATACCATATTGTAAATATAATGTTTATATTACATTGCTTCTGTAGGAAAAAGATGGATTTTATGGACAGCTCTTGGATTTGCTACCTACAGATTCGAATCTTAAGAAACATTTAAAATTTGAGAGGTGTTTCTTTGTTAATTTTCCTTGTGATAAAGGTGAAGAATTGGAATATTTATCTGACTTAGAAAAATATATTGTTTCTATTGCCAAAGACAGAAGATGGAAAGAAAACATTCCAAAAGAATGGTCAGTAATTGAACTAGCTTTTATCACAATGAGACGTTCTAAAAAGATAGTTCCAATCGAAGAACTCAAAGAGAAATACTGGAAGGCTAAGAGAGATGACGGCTTGAAAATGGAGGATGCACTATGCTTTTTCCACGACATTGGATTGATTCTGCACTTTAAGGAAGAGAATCTATCAAATACCATAATTGTTGACGTCCAGTGGTTTGTTGATACGTTTAAATTCGTAATATCAGACAAGAATCATGTCCGCGATTTAGCAGAAACTGACAAGGAGTGGCAGTACTTCCACAGGACTGGGTATCTCATGGACAATTTTCTTAGTCGAGTTTGGGGAAGCTTATATATAAACTCTCGGGAAAGGCCGATCATTTTGCAATATATGCAAAGACTAGGACTACTAGCGATAGGAGATTTAAAACATTATGTTCCATGTATGAATAAAAAAGATTTTGGTAGGAAGGAAAGGATTGCCTTACGGGGAATGGAAACAAAATCTTCTGTGTTGGTGCTACATTTCCACTTTTTACCGTTCTTCTTCTACTGTCGATTGATAGTTGCCTGCATTGTGCGAACAGAGTGGAAGGTGGTAGAAGATAAAGGTTTGCCAGGCTTGTATAAAAACGTCGCAATTTTCGTATACAGAGACCACCTAATTGCTTTGGTTGTAACTCAAACTGCAATTCAAGTTCAAATTTTGAGACCACAAAACTCACCTATTGATGCCAATGTCGCTGTTCATATCAAAGAGACTCTAGAAAATAGACTTGGATACTTAACAAGCACATTTCACAAGAAAGTTGCATACAATATTGCATTTCAGTGTTCATATCAAGATGTGCTTTGCGAAAGTGAAGAATGCTATGTGTATGAAAAAGAATTAATATCAAAAAACGATAAAATATTGTGTCCAAGACATGGATTTCCAGAATCACATGAGATTAATATAAAATCTCTGACAAAGTTCTGGAATAGAGTGAGTAAATATAATATCCCTCTCCTTTCTCTCTCTCTCTCTCTCTCTCTCTCACTCTCTCTCTCTCTCTTATGAAAGTTTTTTTTTTTTTTTCAAAATGAGTTTAAATAGCAGAAAGTATTTTTACGGCACGTATCCTTCTTTTATATCTTCTGTGTCATATTTCTTGGATACATATCCGTGTATGTAGAATAACGAAAGGTTTATGAATGAAAGTTTTAAATAACTACTGATCATGGCATTCAAGTTTGACTTCCACACAATCTTTATAACTGGATGCGAAAAGCCACCACGTAGGGTTTATTATTGATGTAAAATTACATGTCACGAAATTGAATATTTTATGTTTCTGGTGACCATAGCAACATTACATTTCTCTGTATCAAACTTTATCGTATAAGCTATTAAGCTTTAGTTCTATCATGATATAATACCATTCACGGTAGCTCAGTCGGTAGTGCGCTCGATCCGTGATCGGGAAGTCGTGAATTCGTATCTCGGCAACGGCTGACCCTAAGTCCATAAAAACGGGTAGCAACTGTTCCTTCGCCATGCACTCGGCACTTTGAAGTGAAAGTTGCTGGTCTTTCGGATGAGACTTTAAAAACCGAGGCCCCGTCTCAGCTGCAGGCGTTGGCACGATAAACATCCCTCACTGCTCAATGGCCCTGAGTGCCGAGTAAAGGTCAAAATATGAAGCCCTTTACCGCATTCTGTGACGTGTCCACATGAGTGAAAAATTCTCGAGTGGGACGTTAAACAATATAAAATCTATCAATCGATCTATCTATCGTATATTAAGAATATGTTAAGATAATATTTTACATTTATTGCATGAAGGTGAGGGAGACACGAAGATTTCTTCGCTCATGAAAAATCATATTCTCGAGGGCAACGCCCGTAGGGAATATGATTTTTTTATTTATATAAAGTTTTATTCACATAAAGTGAATGGGATCAGAGAGCAGGCAAAGCCTATTTTAGCCCTCTCCCTACAAGGTCAAGATGAACTTACAATATATATGTATTAAAATAGATAGACAAACATAGTAACAAAGAAACAAAAGAAAAAAAGGGTAGATAGAGAAAAAATTACAATGTAGTACCGGTTAGAAAGTGTTGCCATAAGTAACATACATGGCAGTATTAAATAAAACCTTTGGTTGCTGCGAGGAAAGCATGTACTGCTTCAAATATTTGAATATTCATACCTGGTCCATGATTGGGACTACCATACAAAAATAAATCATGTTCATGAATTTGACCACAATGAATATTTTGGATTGTTTGGAAAAGTCACTTCTTGGAAAGTTATATTTTGGACAAACACATAATAATGATGAGCATCTTCAACATAGTCAATACAGCATTCACACATTGGTGTTTCTGATTGATTATATAAGTCTGCCTTTAAATTACTTGAATTATTTCGCAACTGACAGTGTATCATATTTTATTTTCTCATTCTCATTCCAAAATTCTTTACCTTTCTTTTTTTATTTTTTTACAAAAACTGGAATTTACATGTAAAAGATCTTCGAATGTATTGAAGGATAAAGGGGCATAAAAGTCTGTTATCTAAACTAAAAAAAATATGGTATTATTGGCAACATATTAGGCTGTAGTGAGAAATATTTGTGTGATAAACATCAAAAAGTTGTAATTGATGGCTTTTCATCAAACCATGAGATAGTAAATGGTGGTGTTCCTCAGAGTTCTGTTTTGGACCTTTTCTTTTTTTTTCCTATACATAAATGATATTTGTGATGATTTAGCAAATAATAAACGTCTTTTTGCTGATGAAACCTCCTTATATTCTATTGTAGAAAAGGAAGCAACAAATGTAGCATAACCACTCACTAGTGATCTAGGTCTAATTCATAAATTGTCAAAAAATGGCTAGTTGATTTTTATCCAAACAAAACAGTAAATGTTGATTTCACCCGAAAAAAACCATAAAATATCCGTCCATTATATTTTGAGAACATGACCCATCTATTATTCAAAATAATATTCAAAATAATATAATCATTAAATAATTATCATATAAAAATATAATATTCAAAATACCCACCTAGGATTACATTTTCAAAGTGATTCTACCTGGACATCGCATATAAAAATTAATTAATAAAAAGCTACAAAAAAACTAAATATCCTCAGAATGATGAAGTATTAAGTGAAAAGGAAAAAAATTTCTAAGATAAGATAAGCTTTATTTAAAGTCAGTATGGTAGTTAAAAAGTAACACAAGCTCTAATGAGCTTTGACTTACATGTTTAACATATACATAACAGTAAAACAATGAAAACATGCAGCACTATATAAAATAGAATTACTTGCAGCAATACAGCACACAGTCTAATTTAAAGCACATCATCAGTTAAAGATACATATAAAAACACACATGTACAGACACAGATGCATAGAGAAAGCAACAGGTATACATACAAGTCACAACATTACAAACATACCAACAGTATATCCACAGCGTCATAAAAAGAACATAACAGGAAAAAAAGAAAAGAAAAACTGACACACATGCACAGACACACAAACAAAAGGACACAACTTACCTAGTGGAGCAGGCTGAACATTCACAGTCCTTACCGCTCCAAGAGGTTATCATAGATTTAAACTGTAAAAGATTATTTTCACATTCAAAATGTTCAGGTAAGGAGTTCCATAAAACTGGTGCTGCATATCTAAAAGACATTTTGCCATATGATGTAGTTCTCACTTTTGGTATTTCTAAAATGTTTGAATATCTAAAATTGTATGTCACTTTCTTAAAACTCACTAAGTCTGACAGATATCTAAGAGAAAGGTCATGTAAAATCTTAAAACATTCCAAATCCATGCTACGCATTCTTCTAATCTCTAATAATTTTGCCTTAAGTAGTAATGACTCATAGCTACTCTCCAAATCTTCATAAATAAAACGTAAAACTCTTTCCTGAATTTTCTCAATTTTCCTGGTATTTTTCTTGGAGCAGAAGTGCCATACAAAAGGACAGAAATTAAAATTTGACAGAATAAAACTATAAAATATTGTAATTTTGTTTGCCCAAGTTAATACTGAGCCAATGCGTTTTAACACATATAATTGTTGAGCAGCTTTTTTACAGATATTACTAATATGGACATCAAATTTGAGCATAAAATCAATATCAATTCCCAATAATTTGACAGTCTCATTACACAAAATCTCTGCACAATCAATTTTAAATACAGGGTTCTTATGAAAGGTTTTCTTACCCAAGGCAACTGCCTGAAATTTAGATTGATTGGCTTGCATACAATTTTCTTTAAACCATTTCAATAATACAGAAATTTCATCTTGTAAAGTGTTTATCAGAGTGTCAAAATCCTTATGCCAGTATGCTAAAGTATTATCATCTGCATAATTATATAAAGACCCATTCTCAATGAAATAAAAAAAAATGTCATTAATAAAAACATTGAAGAGTAGTGGTCTAAGGATGGAACCTTGTGGTACTCCCTTTTTAATACCAACCCAACTACTGACAACTCTCTGAAGTTTCACTTGCTGAAAGCGCTCAGACAAGTAGCTTCCTAGAATGGAGACAGAATTTGGAGATAAACCATAAGCAGAGAGTTTACTTAATAGTATGTCATGAGGCAAACAATCAAAAGCCTTAGAGAGGTCCATTAAAATAGCAGCAACATGTACGTTCTGATCTAAAGCCATTTTCCAGTCTTCAAGGAGTCGCAGTAGTGTAGTGTGGCATCTATGACCTTTTATAAATGCACAGAGTGGGTTGGTAAAAATATCATCAAAATAGTCAGAAAGTTGTACACATAAATCTTTTCAAAAACCTTTGATACGGTTGGTAAAATACTAACAGGTCTATAATTACTTTTTAACAAAGGGTCTTCTTTTTTGTATAAAGGAATGACCTGAGTTTGTTTCAGTCTATCAGGAAAAGTGTCCTTTTGTATGGATTGGTTAACAAGCAAAGAAATTTGTTTACTCAGAACAGGTGTTCCAAATTTCAGAAGTTAGGCTGATATTGTATCTACACCAGTGAATTTCTTAACATTTAGTTTGTTTATTAGCTTGGTCACTTCTTCTTTATTAGTTTTCTTAAAATCAAATGTCTCAGTAAAAGCAAAATTTTCCTGATGGCATTTAGACTACAATGATCTTTTTCATTAAAAACTACATCTTTCCCTATTTCACTAGCCAAATTAGCATAAAAAATTAAAAAAGTTGCAAGTTTCTATTGGGTCATTTTATTAGATATTAAGATATTTTTTGCATCTATTAGATTTGTTTTAGAATATTGTGAAGTTGTCGGGGACAATTGTTCTGAAAAAATGCAAAACTTTTAGAAGATATCCAAGTAGAAGCAGGAATAATATTACTTGTTTGAGGTAAAATTCCCCTAGATCAAAATTGTATGACGACTTTGGGTGAGATCTTTTACAAACTAGGAGGAATATTCATAAATTGCTACCATTTTAAAAAAGTTAAATGACTTAATTGAACCTTTTCGTCCTACAAACCACCCCTATAATCTTTGAAATACTGATGCAGAATTCAAAATTCCTATTAGATCTACATCATGTATTGAAAGTTTCTTTCCATCAACTATTTAACTGTGGAATAACTTGCTTGATTATATCAGAGATGCTCCTGCAATATCTTCATTCAAAGGAATATGATTTTTCATTGGCTTAGAAAATCTTCATGTCTCCCTCACTATCATGCAATAAATTGTTTATTATACCGAATCAAACACAATGCAGGAAATATGAAGAAAGAAAATGACTAAAATAAACTTTTGATAAGAACAATATGAAACAGCTTTAAGTTGCAACACTAGCCGCGCCTCATTAAAACACATCCATGTGATTTACACACCAGCAAAATTTAAATCCTACCCACTATACCAAATATTGATATATTGCACGTTTGATTCGATACAATCAATGAATAGTATAAATAATCTTACTCAGAAGTAATCATATGAGTC